ATGTTCGTGTTTTTAATGTTCGTGCTTTTAATGTTCGTGCTTTTAATGTTCGTGCTTTTAATGTTCGTGCTTTTAATGTTCGTGCTTTTAATGGTCGTGTTTTTAATGTTGGTGTTTTTAATGTTGGTGTTTTTAATGGTCGTGTTTTTAATGTTCGTGCTTTTAATGGTCGTGCTTTTAATGGTCGTGCTTTTATTGTTCGTGTTCTTTCTTTGTTTAGTTGGTTCATTTGTGTTCTTTCATCCTCTGGTTTATTTCTTTGACTTGTTTGTTTCTTTCTTTGTTTGTTTTTCTTTTTTTTTCGTTTCTTTGTTTCTTGTGTTCTTCGTTTGTTTGTTGATTGTTGTCTGGGTGATGAGGCGCTCGGCTTCCTCGCCGCAACACAGACTGTTTCACTTAACACCGTCCGTCGATACAGACCCATGCCAAATTTTCTTTCTTTTTTTGGTCACCAACAACGGTCGTGAGCTGGGCTGCAAACGAGGGTCGTTTGTTTTCCGGTTCCGGCCCGGCCTGTTTTTTTGGCTTGCTTTGTGGGCGTGGTTGGCTACGCTTATAAAGGAGTAGTGGAGGTGTCCCCCTTGGAATTTCGCAATCTCTGGCCGCGAATCCCATTTCTCGGGCCGGGCAATTCCACAGACATTGCCGGGTTATATGTCTTTACCTTACCGTCTGCCCGAAGCTGTATTTCAACGTGGGCTCATCCTAGGAATCGATGACGTAATTTCCAATACGTAAACTCATACGGACAAGAGGATCGTCCAGGCCGTGGAAGACCGGGCCGAGGCCCGAGCATTGGTACGTATCTGGGAGCTGTTTAAGGTATATATATATATGATTTGTATAGTTTTGCTGCTTCAGATGTATCTACCAAGAAAGACTATCAGGTGTCCACTCAATATCCTCCCAACAACAAATCAGAGTGTCAGGGAGGAGGCTTCTCCCGTAAATTGTTATAACCAACGCATTCTGAATTCCAAGCCCCAGTTCACAGATAAATATAGTTCGTTTGCAGAGGGGTGCTTGTATTGCTTTATCCAAGTAGTCCTGAATGAAATCACAACGGGAAAAGGTGATGCGTGCCTGGTGTTGAAAAAGGCCGAAGAGTTTCGCTCAATGGTCAGGCCGGCATTGAAAACATGACAGAAGTTTACTTTTACATGACCTTGTGTAAACAGGCACATGATACAAGTCCGTGCCGGTGGGTATATCCGGTCACGTCGGGCTTACGTGAAAAATCATGTAGAACGTAGAAATGAGTAGATTTTGAGGTGGTTACAACTAATGAAAACGAAAGATTATTGACCATTGACCATTAGCTTCTATTCAGTACCAGATCTAGCCAAACATGCATGAGAAGTAGACAATGTCCGGCGTATTCGATTTTCTGACAGGAGCGTGTGAATGTTCGAGGCCTAGCACCCTCTGTCTCATAGCTTAAACCTGTTTTCACATGTAACAGCACGTAGGTCAAAACACCACAGCCAACTTCGCCAGGTCTATGTTCATTCGAGATTTCATTTGTACATCACTAGTTGACCTAAAGAACACTCCACTCCCATGTCGCCTCCGCGAACACATTCTCAACCACCTAGCTTTTCCCGCCGTATCTTCACTTTCTTCCAGCAGAAGGTATAAGGGCACTTACTTCCATCGACTTTGTTGAATCCCGACAATCTCGCCTTTCTGCCTTGGAGATGTATGTAATTGCTTCGAGGGATTCTTGTAAATGGAGAGGTTTCAGGAGTATCCAAGGGCAGCGGCTCACAAGGCTCTACGTAGCTCTCTTGGTTTCGTTTTAGTTGTTCGCATGTGACCCACTTTCACCCTAAGTTCAGCGAAGATTCTCATCTTCTGGTGAGAACGGTGCAATTTAAGCGGGATACACGATTGCTTCCTTTGTTCACTCGAGTACGAGCTTTGCGGCCATGCACATACCTTCTCCTCGTAGTATTATATATACGGTGCACAACAGCCCAATAAAGCCAACTGCCGTCTTGAACATCTTACAAACTCGAAAAGGCTCATATTTAGACTTTGAACATGGCCACGCGTCAGATGCTAACTCATTGGACTTCATTGCACCTGCAAATCGTGCGATATACCATCTTGCATGAATCTAAATAATTATGTTTTTCAGTATAAGAGAGAGTATATGTAACACCCGCCAGATTCTCAGCATTGACTCTTTACATTCTAGTCTCGTAGCGCAAGATTCATAACAAGCATCCCGTACCGAAAACGCACAAAACGCGCCACAACTCACTCGATTCCACCAATGGGTCGGCTTCGAGCCCCTAAAACTCCTTCATTTGAAAATCATAAATCTCACGGGGCTGTAAGTGCACCCCGAGGAATTACCAATGTACCCTTGGTTTGGATGTTCGAAAACTTTTGAGCGGTGCACATCATCTCACCAAACCACAGCACAAGGACAACCGAATCTTGGTACAGCGAGCTAGTTCCAAGTGGTGTTGTTCACCACGAAAATCAACTGTAGGTCTCTAGTGAAACCTAAACATTTTTCTCGGACTAAAAGGAAGCGCCTGCCAAGGGCACGTCTGTCCGCCAGACGTCCTCTCACTGTGGCATGCTAGTATCATCGCCTTGCCATCGCGCCATACCATGAGTTAACGTGTTGAGAAATTTCGCAGTCAGTGGTTTTGAAAGCCTGCCGGCACTAACCTTTCTATTTTCTTCCCACCTTCAAGCTTCTGACCCTCAGCAACAAAGAAGAGCTTCCCTCTTCCTCCTCGAATGATGAGCTGCGATACTCGGTGGAACTGTCATTTGATCCTCGGCGTGCTGTAACATCACTGCCGCTGTTTTTCCTTAGCCTCTGTGCCAATGACTTTTTCCGCCCGAGACCACCCTTGTTTGCACTGGGCGATGAAGAAGAATCGTCTAACTTAGGCGCAGGAGCTCCATTGAGGAATGTCGTCGAACCCAATCCAGCGGTCGAAAACCCATGGATCGGAGCTGCTTTCTCGTGAGCATCGAACGCCACAACAGATGGGTTAAGGCGAGGAATGTCACCTTGGGTCCCAAAGGGCTTAGCCTGTGGGGATCCTTTTGTAGCGGAGTGCAGCCTGGCAGATCTCCCGATGATCATGTTGTGGTCTTCTATGTTTCCGAACGCAAGTTCTATATTATCCTTTGGACCCGCGTTTGCTTTCATGGAGTTGTTGGGCCCGTCTGCAGGGAAAGCCATGACAGGAGCAGCTTTCACGTTCTTGTTTCTGTGAGGTGCACAGGCGTCAAATGGCCCGTCGTGGTGAAAACGGCCGCCAAAAAATGCGCTGACATCTAACTTATCAATAACATCTAAGTTTTTGGGTTGGTGTGGAGCCACGGCCTTCTTTTTGGATTCTTTTGACTTGTGACGTGATTTTCTCTCTTTGTGTTTTGCTGAGTCGCTATGGGATCGGTGAGGTCTACTGGAGCGCAAGGACAGTTTCAGCGACTCCTTCTCCTTGGGGTATGTTTTCGATTGTGCTTTTGGGCCAGCCGCCTCTTCGTAAGATGGGGGAGGCGGGACCATTTTTTGCGGTGACTTTATGTCTTTGGATGGCGATTTTAATCTCGTGGCCTGAGCAGGTGGAGGAGGTGGAGGGTCTCTGTGGTGTTTGTATTCCCCATTCATCGCGGAAGCAAAGGGATTATTGGAGGACATGGTTCTAAAACGGTATTAGTATAGGCAGACAAAAATAGGTCGAGTATATTCTCTGGCAGCAGCAGTGGCTCGTTGAGACGAGCGGATTCAGAACGGCAGGAAATTTGAAGTTTGTTAGGGCACCCGAGCGATCAAATGCGTCTTGAAACGACGCGCAATGTTGCAGCAGGCTTCAGGATATGCGTCGGATAGACTCCTGTACCGTACCTTGCTTTCGCGCCGTTCCGCGGCCACTGGTCTAGTGACGAGGGGGATAAGCCATTTCGGCCGGAGGCTGTGCTAAGGGAAGCAAAATGGTTAACGACAAGTTGACAACAAAAAAAAAGTGATTTTCTTTGGTTGAAAGTCTGGAACATTGCTTCCTTGGTGCTGCAAATCCGGCGCCTCGCACATGCCCCCACATATCCATTTCACGCGCTAAGGCCTGTCTTTCGTGTTGTCTAGATCGCTGGCGCGTCGCAGCCAACGCCTGGCCACGCGGAATTCGGCTTGCTCGGCCTGCTCAAAGTCTCACATGTTAGCCCCTATTTTTCGCTCCATTTCGCAGGCCTTCTCTCTTTTGCGTGTCTCGATTGCTGCCCAGTGGGAACCTTAAATTGTCTTGCTATTTCTCTCCGAAACAGCGCGGCCTTCGAATAGGCGCAAACACGCCTTGAGAATGTACGCCTGTGTGCACATAGGGGCTGGCGGGTAAGACCTGGATCGAGAGAGGCTGTGCTGACTTTTGGCGGCACAAGCAAAACAGAGACAGTATAGGGGAGTGCTAGTCGGCGATGTTTTGGGCACGAGACCATGGAGAAAAAAATCCTTCCACAGGTCAGAAAAAAAAACGTGGCCAAAAGTTGAATGTAGAATGTGTCAATCGTGCGTGGTCAACACCAGTTCCCAAAGTAGAATGCGGGAGCATCACATGCTTACAAGTGTTAGCATGGACACATCAACACGGGGTATATAAAATGGATATGCTGCCACCAGAAAATGCTCGCTTTAAAATGCTGAAAAAGATTATACGTACCTGCTATAATTGACATTTGTATCGCTACCTGTTCTGGTCTGGCTGGGAAACGACGGTCTTTGAAATGCTTGTTGCTCCTCCTCGTCAGACTGGTCTGACATGAGACCCCTGTTTTTTTGGACCCACTCGTCAAACGCCGAGTTACTCAGAGGGGTTGACAGCACGGCACCCTGAGCGCCGATTTGGCGGAATGGGTTGGTCGACAGCCTTCGGCCCACGGAATCGTACAGCAGATTGTTTTGGTGATACATGGGCAGGGCACAAAAGGGCAAAGACTAACGTGACGGGCCGTAGAACGAGTACGTTATAAGAAAACTGTGATACAACACTGAGGTCACAGTAAAGGGTGTAAGTAGATACGTAAGCACGAAAACCCCGGAGTGCACGCTTCAGTCGAGCCTGGGTCGCGCACGCCAACGGGTGACGTTCTAGACACGTTCGCGTCAAAGTGGGGGCAAGCAGCTACAGAACAATGCATCTCGTACGCAGCACTGATGCCAAAATCGCAATGCCCCGCGAGAGGCTGCGTGAATAAAGAGAGATGTCAATTAAGTAGCTCCAGGAGGGTATTCAAAAGAAAGTGGAAAACCAAGGGGAACCTGCAGGAAAACTCAACTGAGGCGGAAATTTGGCTTTCCGTGGTATAACGGTCATTATCAGCCGTGCAGACCTGACGCGCCTCGCATCGCCGTGGAAACAAGTTCTTATCGCTCAGCTCATCTTTTTAGTGTGTATCTGCGGCTAATTGAACTGTAGATCTGCGTCTAATTGAACTGTAGATTATGCGATCTAGAGATATAGGGTACTGTGGGTACACGCACGTCAGGTCAACTATGTGTCCTGAAGCAAAACAATCTAAGTGAGATATGCATGTCGCGATTTGGGCGGCCTCTGCCCCCACGCGTGCACTTGACGCATGATGTGACTATTTTCAGAAAGAGCTCCACGTCCAATCTGAGGGAACGTGATTATATGACGCCCGCCTCTCAGAGCCACCCTCGTTTTTGAAACCAGGCCTAGTCGCCCTGGATTTGAGATCGTAAAGTGGGTGTGCCTGCAGTGCGTGGCTGGCGCCTATGTATGGGTTATCAATAAAGACGTATGGTGTGTCAATGTCGTTCTTGGCCCGACTTCTTTGGTTGAGCAAGTATAATAGCCGCAGAGAGTTATTGCCACATGTCTTACACACTTTGCAGAGTTTGAATTTCTCATGCAAAGACGCGAGCCCCATTTTTTTTTCCGTCAAGTTTTTGAATAGAGGAATCACAATGCGTGCCTTAGAATCTAGCATGATGCCGGCGACACCTTCATCGCCAAAGGTGGAGGACGCCGCTGAGAGGCTGGAGATCACTGAGCTTGAGTTTGAAGATCCGCTGTTCGCCCGCAGCTGAGTTTGGGTGTCAGCTGCGGGCGGGGCAATCTGAAATGCTTCTCTGCTCTTATATAGGCAGTTGTGGCAGTAGAGTAGGCCACAGAACCTGCAGTGGTGTCGTCCTCGTCTCTGCGGGTTGAAAAAACCCCGAAAGACTTCAAAGCAGTTCATGCAGTGGTCGGAAGAACTGTTGGGTGCCCAGTGCTCATGCGTGGGCTCGGCTCTGGAATTCTGCAGAGTGGCGTCCTGCGGCATCTCAAACGGGAACTCGCCTAGCTTGGCTTCGAAAGAGCCTTCATCTGCACTCAGATCATGAAGGAAGTCTTCCTCGTTGATTTTGTCGATTTCCTGCGGAGGCCGGAGCACCGCAGGCAAGCACAACGGCTTTTTCTGCGTGTACACCTGCTGGATGGCGGGCCCGCTGCTTGGCATGTACACACGATTTCTGCCACTTGCGGGCTTGCAAAAGCTATTTGCACGTTCTGCGTGTGCAGCCCGCTCTTCCAGGGTGGTGTTTGCATCGAGGTTTTCGATGGCTCGCACAAGCTTCTGTTGCATGAGTGGCGTCGTGCCAGGCAGTGCACCCGATCCTGAGCGGAACTTGGCGGCTGTTCCGTAAATCTCCGGGTACTCGACTGTGTCTAGCGAGAGGATATTTCCTGTGGAAACTAGAATCCCCCACTTCTGTTTGATGGGCTCCAGGTTCCTGCGTGTGGGCTGGTTCAAGTCGGCAGTTGCGGGCCGGTACTCCAGCTGGGCATCTTCATTCCCGCATCCGGGTGTTGTGGGGCCTGCTTGCGACGAGCCGTCTACATTGTGTTCCGATGACTCACTTTCCTCGGAGAGCTGGAACAGATCGCCTCTCAGCAGCGGGTCCGGGGTAGCAGAGCTTTTGCGGTCCGTGAACGGCCGGGGCAGCTCGGGCTTGTAAGTATAATGGGTGGCCAGCGACATGCGTGGAGCCCTGATACGGTCATCGTAGTTGACGTTGTTGAAAGTGGGTACGTCTGCAGGCTTCAGCACGTTCAAGAGGGCCCTGTCTATGTTGTGCGGGATAGCCGACGTAGCCATAGTGCTAATAATGGGCCGCTTCGAGAACGAGAAAGGGGGCAAGTCGGCGTCCTGGGCTGGATCCGAAGGTTCCGTCATTTGCAAATCTGCGTGAGACACTTAGGTTGCGAGACTTCCGAGGAGGTCCGTACGTGGATGATCAAGGATTTGCGGCGTGTAGACAAGGAATGAGGATTCAGTGTTTGTGCTATATGCGTATTTCCAGGGACGCCAGGTATCTTTGGAAGCGAAATCTAGGAAGCCCAATCTCGACATCCAGATTGATAAGACCTCGCTATCAAGAGCAATAGTGCATGCAGACGCCGGTTAGACCGAGGTGCAGTGCGCGCGTGCAGGGGCCTAGAGTAGGGGGTTTGGAACGCAGCAGGGGTCTTTGAGTAGGGTGTTATGACATTACGCTGGATGCGGAACTGCAAGCTTCGTTATTCTTATATTGTTCTGTGGCTGCTCAACAAAGGAAATGTGGGAAACCAAACATGAATGATATTCATCACATGTTGTGCAGAGCAAGAATTGTTTCATCACCCCAGCAATAACCTACCGTCTCTGCACCCAGGCATGCGCTGGATGCCGGGAAAAATCTCATATGTCCGGCTGAGGCGGGACTTCCGCGAGCGCACTGCTGTGAGGCTTCGAGCAGCTGGTCACATGACGTCTACTGTTGTTTAGGTTTCCAGCATGGTATTTATTCTGGTATAAACTGGCTGTAGCTACGCGGCAAGCCACGCATGTTTCCGCAGCCCCGGTCCCGGAACTGGAGGAAAACACAGAGTGGCGGAGGAAAAGCAATGTCTATGATTGGTTGTCGGCCACGGGCTGAGCACCCGAAGTGATTCCCCTGCCACGTCTGGCGAGGGCATCTCATTGCTGGGGTTGCCTAATCCTTCAAGACCACGTACAAAGCATGGAGAATGGCGGGGAACCAGAAGAAAAGACAACACACAAGGTTAATCCAAAGTGGGGTCGTGAACCCGCATTTCATGAACACGGCTAAAGGAGGCAAGAAGAGGGCTGCAGGCGTTAGTAGGACATTTGTATTATTCAATGCTGCGAGCGTCGTGACACATACCCAAGATGATGGCGATGATTTTTTCGGAATCCATGTTGTGCTGGAAGTCTGGGGAGAAGTAGTGGTGCGAGACATTTTGTTCTACTGAATGCCCCTATCAGAGAGACCCGGGCGAGGCCGCGTCACGTGACCGCACGGCGCTCGGGCTGGCCGCAGACGGCCCCAGCAGGGCATTCGTGTGGCGCCAGTTTCTATCTGTATTTTTGCAGTGTTTCTGGAAACGGGTTTTATTTCGAGAGGAAACAGAGCAAGAAATATCACGGTACTTGTGCTCGGTGCACCACGGGAACCAGACATTCTGCTGCCACCTTGAGAAGTGAGGGAAGGGCACTACCAGAAGTGTTCCAGGAATCTAAAGACCGGTATTTTTTCCAAGCAACGTGCGAAGAAGGAAATGCCCTCTTTCGGGTTACTTGGTCACTGTCACTGTCAATGCCAAAAGCCAGGGCAAACACCATCCTGCATCCAACGTGGACATGTGACTGGGTCAGCCTGGCGATGGGGATTCGGATTCATCTAGAAATGGAGTGATGTGCCACCATGTGATTGATGGCCCTTTAAAACCAAGTAAGCCACGAGCCAGTGGGCTCAGCTTTCAACCGCAAGTCCTCCTAGTCATTCCAATTGCTGGGTTACCAAATGACATGATTGGCAGTGCACATAGCGAGCATCGATAGGGGGCCATTTTGCTACCACTATTTACGGACTAGCATTTTGGCACAAAAAATTACAAGCGCCCCGCATGTTTAATTCGCCTCGTAATCTAGGCGGTGAATACATGCTCATGTCTTGCTTCACAATTACGGTTATGGATGCGTAGAGTAGAGTGGTCACGTGGCCCTGACGCCCGACACGAACACCAATATATGCTAGGGCAAGAGAAACAAAACGCCCCTTGCTAAATCACCCAGCTCATCATGTTTCCGATACTCGTAAAAACATGCATTTCGTAAATTGACATTTCATTGGGAGACACGTGGGGCGACTTCTCTGAGACCATGTCGGGTCAATACACCACGTGCCGGTAACGGCAACACTATATGCACACCTGTATTACTGTCTGGTTCGGCAGTATGAACGGCACTGGATGTTCCTGGCCCCGCCTTTTGCCGCCTATTTCTAGAACGGTCCCTTTTCGTCGCAGAGAAACTGAAACTTCGTAATTTGAGGTCCGCTAAACCATAAAGAGTTCCGTGGACTTGATATCAACGCAGGCCTGGAGCTCGAATGTGAAGTAATTGGTCCCATTCCATGGCTCAATTTTGACAGGGTGGAGTTACCAATTTAGAAACCGGGCTCTGCACAGTGCTCAAACCCCAATACACGGGAATTTGGCCACTTCCGAGGGCAGCTGCGTGCATTCCGGATTGTTTAATTGCAATAGTGTAGTGGTTAACGTCTCTCTTTGATGCAAGCGGCTTTGGGATATAAAAAGGCAGACACCCAGCAGCTGGATCGGATCAATTGACTCTTTTCCACACAAACCAGCAACACAGCTTGCGGCCAAAAGTCTTGTTTCTGCAATAATGGTTGCAATTTCCAAGCTCGTGAACAACGGGCTTCTTCTCGTGGGCTCCTCTTTCTACAGAGACTTGGCCACTCCCCAGCAAGCCTCGGTTGAGTCTTACAATGTGGTGAGATTCTTGGGCGGCTCAGGGCCATACGTGCAGCACCCGGGATATGGGATCTCTACCGATGTTCCTCCCCAATGTACCTTGGAGCAGGTGCACTTGATGTCAAGACACGGCGAGAGATACCCTTCCAAAAATGTCGGGGCTAGTCTCGAGACAATCATGGCCAAAGTGGATAACTACAACCAGACTTTTGTTGGCGAGTTGGCGTTCTTTAACGACTACACGTACTTTGTGTCGGATTCGGACTACTACGAGAAGGAGACCTCGTCCTTCAACTCCGAGGGCACGTTTGCCGGCACTGCCGACGCCCTCAGACACGGCATGTCGTTCAGATCAAAGTACCAGACGCTTTTCAACTCGTCCGAAGAGACCCTCAAGGTGTTCACGTCCAACTCGGTCAGATGCCACGAGACCAGTAAGTACTTTGCACGCGGTTTCATGGGCGACGAGTACGACGACGAGTCGGTGGACTACTACATCATTGCTGAGGATAGTGACATGGGAGCCAACTCTTTGACCCCTCGGAAGGCGTGCACCAACTACGACAAGGACATCAACGAGGACATCATTGATCAGTACAACATGAGTTTCTTGGCCGACGCCAGAGACAGAATCGTCGAGGGCAACACCAACTTCAACTTGACCACCGATGACGTCGAGAACATGTTCGAGTGGTGCGCGTACGAGATCAACGTCCGCGGCTCGTCGCCAGTCTGTGATCTTTTCACCAACGAAGAGTACATTCGCTACTCGTACTCTGTCGATGTCGACAAGTACTACTCGAACTCGTTCGGAAACAACATGACCGCCACTGTCGCTGCGCCATACTTGAACGCCACGATGCAGTTCATGAAGGAGGAGACCCCCGAGTTCAAGGTGCTCTTGGCTTTCACCCACGACACGGATCTTGAGATCTTCCACTCCGCACTTGGCCTTGTGGAGCCGGACCACGACTTGCCAACAGACCACGTGCCTTTCCCCAGTCCATACTCGCACGTCCAGGTGACGCCCCAGGGCGCCCGGATCATCACCGAGAAATACAACTGTGGCGGCACTTCGTACGTGAGATACTTGATCAACGACGCCGTGTTGCCCATCAAGACGTGCCAGGACGGCCCCGGCTTTTCATGCGAGATGTCGAAATACGAGTCTTATATCGAGCTGAGATTGCAGGGCAAGGACTACGAGACCCAGTGTGGCATTGAGCCCGGTGTGCCCTCCACGGTGTCCTTTTTGTGGGACTACAAGACCGGAAACTATACTGCTGCCGATATTGACAAGTAGGCGTGTCTGCTCGCAGATGGGAGCTGGGCTTCTGGATGTTTTGGATATGGATACCCACCTGGACTTCAGAATTGACGCTCCTAGAATTCATAATTGACACACTTAGACTAATAGACACCCTCTTGGAATTGAACATGAATACCAATCAACATTCATAATAGACGCCATCCCGACTTTATCATGGCCAATTAGTTGGGTCATAAGTCCGCTCGGGTTTTACGGTAGACACCAACCCAGCCTCCAGAATGGATACACCCTTATACTTGGTAATAGATACTCAAAAAGACCTCAAAGTATATACAGATCTGGTCTTCAAAACAGATACCAGCTCAGTCCTCTTAATCTGGATCTACTCAGACTTAATCATGAACGCTCACCGCCATTCCATGAGACACACTCGCTTCGACCCACTCAGTCTTCCATTGGATACCAGCGTAGACTTCACAGCTTGCAACCAAACCAAATTATTTAACGCCAGAAGTTCAGAAGATAGTGAATCAATGGTTCATGTGTTCGTTGTGCACTGATGAACGGTGTGCTCGGCACCTGGGTCGGTGCGCCTCAAAGCAATAGAACAGAACCTAAGGAAGAGATGCGGGCGAATATACTACTAGGTCAGATTTTGTACCCCCACAGATATTTATTACGAAACTATATAAAAAAGCAAAATACCTTAGCAACAGTTCTGGGCATGTACCTTTGCAACCTATCCAACAGCGGCGACAAAATGTTGGACCTCGCGCTGGCTCAAACTCGACTTCCCAATGAAGTATTCTGGTCTACCAGCAATACCCGCATTTCCAAGAAGAAGAGAGTCTGTCTTCAACCTGTACTTCCTTTAAGTTTAGATCGGCTCCTCTTGTGTCACAGTCTCGTCCTCCTCCACCACTTCTCCATCAGATGAATGTCTGACGACATATAAGGCATGGAAAACCCCAGGAAACCACAAAAGAAGGGTCAATAAGATGTTGATCTTGACCTTATTGTCGAGGTAGCCTTGGGCAATGTAGACTGCCACAGGGGGCATAAGAACAGCTGAAAGTTAGTACGAGTGAAGTAATAAAGGTGGGTATAATCCCCGGATAGTTCGCATACATATAGCAGCAGCAGAGAATTGCCTGGCATCAGCGTTCTCACTCATAATAGCAAGTTGATGTAGAAAGAGAGAAGTGAATTGAAGCCGGGTTTCTGGAGGGCTGCCCCGCCTTTTATAGTAGAGTGCGAGGCTGCAAATGGCCACAAAGCTGGTGTGAGCACTGTAGCAAGCCGAAAAAGAAAGAAAAAACAGCCTTGGCAGTTAAAGTAGACATCGCGCTAAAGACAATAATGCTGTTGGTCTATAATGCCGTGAGTATATAATGCTGTTGGTCTATACGAGCAGATGAACGCTCTTTGCTTTTACTCGTCAAGTTTCAGATCAGGTCGTGCAACAAGATTTGCAGCCATTTCGGAACAAGAATTTATACTCTTTGTTTCCCTTCCAAACTTTGACTGTTTCATAGAATGTGAGAATGTTCAACCGCCTTCGTATTGCTAGTGTTTGGATTACTGGCCAGTGGGACATTCAAAACAGTTTTACTTGGATCTAGGGGTTTCTTGTGTGCGGTGGCACTTCCACTGCTCCTTGACATCAAATCAATATTTATTGCAATAGAAACATTTGAGTAAGCTGGCTTCTCGTATACTACAATGTTGGAGTGTCGGGTATGCCAGGACCTGGGAAGAAGCGGCGGTCTCAGCGTGACAATTTGCGCTCTGCGTCCTTGCTCTTTTCCGAACGCTGTCTGTCAGCAACAGAGTCACGATTCAACATCGCCTCCAAATCACTCGAGTATGCGGCCTTGGTTTCGCTTGGGTCGTTGAGTGTCTTTACCACGCGGAAATAGTTTTCGTACCAGTTTCCATCGTAGACGCCGATGGCCAGGTTCAACAAGGTGTCTGGGATCTGGAAGGAGTCTGTCAATGGAATGGCCTGGTCCCTGACCTCCAAGCAGCTCTCCGGAATCAACTTGGAAGTGATGGATTTGCTCAAGTCGGGACTCAACACCAGGAAGCTGATGAACTCGCGGCCAAAGTTCTCCAACAAATGGGTCAAGAAATAGAGCCGGATCACCTTTGCCAACGCGTACAAGAGCCCGGGGGCCTGCACCTCTCCGATGGTGCCGATGAACGTCTCCAACAAATAGTGGTGGCAGCTCAACTTCGACAATAACACTCTCTCGTAAGAGACCACGTCCCAGCTATTCTTCTGCTCTGCCTTCTGCAAGGCCGACTCAGACACGCGCACTATCAAAACCTCCAAAGCCTTGAGAACCTGGGCAGGACTCAAGTCTGATTCTGTCGAGAGCACCCGTTCGGATCCAAGGCAGAGTTTGGCCCGGGTCAAGAACTCCAAGGAGCCCGAAATGCGGGCGTCTTTCCGGAGCACGTCGCTCACGTTCTTCAAGATCGACCGTCCGGCAGACATGCCAAGCACGTTGTTGTCTCCTTCCCACGTGCATTGCACCACCCAGTCGGCATAGGCTTTTCCAAACCCCGAGTAGGCCAGGTAGCCCAGGCCGCCGCACGCCTGCCTGGCCTCGGTGATGCACAGTTCGGCGAGCCATGTCAAGGTCGACTTCAACGCAGCAGAGTCAATGAATAGCGACTTCGTGTCGGCCAACGACCTGCGGATGGCAGCGTCGTCGTTGTTCTCCACCGCCTGCTCCAACTGCCGCACCACTCTTTCGTGCTGGCGCTCCAAGCGGTCCGTGCCCACGCCCGCCGCATAGGTCAAGGCCAAGTAGGGCATCAATCTCCGCTGGTGCAACGGGTAGTTGATCAACTGGGTCTCCTCGGATTTGCCGGTGTGGTCGCCCTTGAACTGGCGCCGGCCCACGGCGTAGCGTGTGGCCACGGTGATGAAGCGGGCGCAGATTCGATACGAGTCCGACGCCATGCCCACACGGCCTTGCAAAAGCGAGATGTAACTCAACTGCTCGAGCGGAGGAAGTGTCACGGAACCGTCGCGGCCTACCTGGCAGAACTTCTGCAACATGAAGAACCGTGGGATGCGCACGGACGAGAACTGGATCCAGCCGTTGTCCACGCCCTCACGCCCCATTTTCTGGCCAATGTCGCCAATCGCTACGCCGGGCATCAACTGGTGCCTGGAGTCGCGCAACGGCACCACAAACGTCTTCACGCCATAATCCTTTCCCTTGATGATGAGCCGGGCATAGACGGCCGAGTGTGTGGCCGAGTGCGCCGCGCCCCCAATCCACCATTTGGTAGCGCCGATGTGCGGTGTGTTGATGATGAACTCGTCCGAGGCCTCGTCGAAAACAGCCGTTGTTTCCACGCCCGCGGCGTTGGACCCGTGGCCCAACTCGGTCATGCCGAAGCAGCCCCACAACTGCTTCATGAACTTGGCCTCCTTTTCCAAACACCAGTACCGGAACTGTGCTTCCGTGCCGTTGCCTTTGATGCAATTGATGAAAAGCCCTAGGTTGACCGAGATCCGGATACCCAACGACGGGTCGTAAGCAGTCACGAGGTTCAAGCGGCGCCAGAAATCCGCATATGACTCCAGCTCCACGTACTGGGTCATGCGGGCAATGCGGGCCGTGGTCTGCTCTCTGTTTTCGGCCCGGGACAACTCATAGTCCGCATAACCAGGCGCCAAAAGTGGGTCCCGCTCCAAGGACTGGTAAAGCTCCATGATTTTATTGGCTTTTTTTGCGGTTCCTTCCACAACATTGAGCATGTCCGACGGGTCAAACATGGCCTTGGCCCTTTCCTCTATCATCAGAGCTGCGGGCGTAGGGCCAGGCAAGGTGCTTACAAGGGACCTTCCAGTGATGGGCATATTTGATATACGTTGGAAAGCAGAATATTTTTTTTGAGAACCAGGAAAGCTGAAGGTGATAGAATGGTTTTTTTTGGAGATTGCAAAGTTGGGAAATTCGTGTATTGCTGGCCAGTATTAGCTATATTTATACGGGGAGACGGCGGTGCCATGCAGGCCTGGCAATGTGGGGTAAGGCGCTACCCCAGATTCTGTAGTTGGTTTCTCGCAACGCTTTCCGGGGAAATGTTCAAACTTATCTCAGTGGGATGCCCCACCCGAATCGAAAACGTTAAAACCAATTTTGGCTCTCTCAATCTGGTTCTGAAATTGACTGAGGGACATGCCTCGGAATACTCCAAAGTCAGCTTTTCTACTGCTTTGCTCCTTTTCGGCTATGGCTGGGGATCTATTAACGTCAAAGACTTGAACCTGCAGCGGGGATAAAGAATGTTTAGGGGTGGACATTCAACAGAGAAAAATTCCGAACTATACACATGAACAAACTTCGTGTGGAAGCACACCCCATGGAAGCAGCTTGTTCTGGATTCATCGACAGGGCCTTGATAATTGCACAATGGCCCAGCCACCTGTCAGGAAAAGAAAGTCCTATTAGATCTCCCCTCCCATCCTATAGCTTTGGTACTCTGTCTTCTTTTACTCAACAGGGCTACATAGACGCATGAGTCTTTTCGTATACCAATCATAATCATTAATATCAAACCTAGCTGATTTACTTGGACAAGATCGAGGCAGCCTCCTCGGATTTCTCAAACCGATCTCTGACCTCAAGAGAAGGTCTGTTCAAGGCGAGCTCGAACTCCGCGCTGTACGGCGCCTTGGTGACGCTATGTGGGTTCAAGGTCTTCACTGTGCCAAAGTAGTTCTCGTAAATGTTACCGTCATACTTGCCAATGGAAGAGTTCAAGGCAAAGTCACTGAACTGGAAGGAGTCGGTATATGCAATGACATCCGGCCTAAGCTCCTTGCAGATCTGTGGCACGATCTTGTTAGTCAATTCGTTGAGAAGCTCAGGCGAGAGAATCGAGTGGCCCAAGAACTCACCGCTGAACTTCTCCACCACGTTGGCGGTCGCGTACAATTGGCCTAGCTTGAGCAAGTATGGGTTCATCTCCTTGTACTCGTTCTCGGAAATCCTCTTAACATACTCGCTCAAGAAGTACAAGTGAGCCTTCAACTTGGAGATAGCCAAGCTCGCAGCACCCACAGTATCGAAGTTGCCGTCGTTCTCAGTCACGACCTTCGCGCCCTGAATAGCGATTCTGGTGATCAACACCTCGATGGCACTCAAGGCTTTCTTGAGGTCCAAGACGTCGTCGGTAGACGTCAAGATTGTTTCCTTGGTGTTGAACTTCTTGGCGTCGTTCAAAAACGCAAGCGACGACTTCTGCTTCTTGCCCAGGTCCAACACGGCCATGACCGCGCGGATGATGGGCTTTCCGACCGACATTGCGAGCACTGAGTTGTCGCCCTCCCACGTACATTGCACGACCCAGTCGTTGTAGGCCTTCCCGAAGCCGTTGTAGGCCGAGTAGCCATGGCCACCACAGGACTGTCTGCACTGGTCAATGCAGTCTGCAGTCAACCAGGTGGCAGTGGACTTTGCGGACGCGGAGTCGATGAAAAGCGTCTTCATGTCCTCGATGGACTTCATGATGGCGCCCATGTCTTCTGCAGCCACGTTCTTGTCCAAGGTGTCCAAGGTCTCGGTGATGGTGTGGTCGATCTTCCACGCACCGACACTGAACACGTATGCCTGGGCCAAGTATGGCAACAATCTTCTCTGGTGTAAGGGGTAGTTGAGCAACTGCGTCTCCGAGCCATCGCCCTGCGAGGCCAGCTTGAACTGCCTTCTGCCCACAGCGTACCGGAGCGCAATGGTGGCGAAGCGCGCCGTCCACCGGTACGAGTCCATCACCATCTGCACTCTGCCGCCGAGCAACGCCGAGTACGACAACTGCTCCAAGGGAGGCATGGTCACGTCACCCTCGCGTGACACCTTGCAGAACTTCTGCAACATGAAGAAGCGCGGAATGCGCACGTGGGAGAACTGGATCCAGCCGTTGTCGATCCCGTCACGGCCCATCTTGGCACCAATGTCGCCCACCGTGACGCCCGGCATCACGTTGTGCGCCGAGTCGCGCAACGGCACCACGAACGTCTTCACGCCGTAATCTTCGCCGTCCACAATCAAGCGCGCGTACACGGCACAGTGCGTGGCCGAGTGGGCGGCGCCGCCAATCCACCATTTGGTAGCGCCGATGTGCGGCGTGTTGATGATGAACTGGTCCCTCTCCTTGTCAAACGTGGCGGTGGTTTCCAAGCCGGCCACGTTCAGCCCGTGGGCCAACTCGGTCATGCCGAAGCACCCGTAGAGGTTTTTCAAGAGCTCCGTGCCCTTGGTGGTGGACCAGTAGTTGCGCTGTTCCTCCGTGCCGTTGCCGCGGATGCAGCCGAGAAAGAGGCCCAAGTTGACGCCGATCCGCGTGCCCACCTGCGAGTCCACGAGGTTCAAAAGCGACGTGCGGGTGGTTTCCCACAACGGCGACTCGCCCATTTCAAGGTACTGGGCCACGCGGGCGATTCTGCGGGCGGTGATTTCGCGCTGCTGCGCCTTGGTGAGGTCGTAATAGCTGGCGTCGTTGCCCAAAATCGGGTCGCGTTCCAACTGTTGGATGATGGTTTTGAATGCCTCGGCATTTTCCTTCAGCGACTCCAAGAAATAGTGCATGGTTTCCGGATCAAAGCGGTTTTGCGACCTCTCATGCTGGATCGATGCCTGCGGGTTTGGCGCTGGCGCGGAGTCTATGGTGTTGTTTGCGACCGTCATATTTTTTTATTGGTGGTGTGTGTTTTGGGTTTCTGAGAAGAAAGATACTATGATAAAAGTGGAGTTAACCCAGGGTGCCGAGCTAGCGAAAAGTGAGGCGCGTGAAATGTGGGGATCGGGCCATATTTATATGGCAGCCCGACATGACGCTGTGCGCATTGTGGAGACCCGAGCGGCTAGCCGTGCCGAGGATCTGGCGGGCCGAGGACGCGGGCGGCTGGTCACGTGACCGCGCCGCGTGGCGCCATGCCTGGCAGCAGAGCCATGAGAGGGGAAGAAAATAGAGAAGCGAGCGAAAACTGCTATTTCAGGGGTTTTGTGTGACCATGTTCTAGAGGGTTTGGTTAGTTTCGGTAGTTTTGGGATTTTTAGGATTTTTGGAAGTTCGGGAGTTTGAGAGTTTGGGAGCTTGGATGGCGCGTGCGTGTTGAGTCTCGGCACATGGACTATGATCCAGAGCCGTGGCACCCATACCGTTTATCGTTGCTTGGTTTGTTCTTCTTCGTCTGTTAGGCTCATTTTTTTATTATATTGATTACGGTGATTCTCTCCCCGACTTCCCAAGAATTTCCTTTTCTGGGTGTTTTTTTTGGTGCTAACTGCTATCTCCACTATATGGCTCCAATGAGGAGACTGTGGGTCGGAGATGTTTTTTTTCGCAGCTGGTGGCCTGATTCCGATGTGGGGCATAAAAATGATACTGCCTGTTATGAGCGAACAAGACCGGAGAAACGCTGGAATTGTGTTTGACTGAATCACTTCAGCGTGCTGGGATCAACAAAAATCGAATCAACAAAATCGAGTCCACAAAAACAGAACCATCAAGGATCGAATCAACAAAACACCGAGGGTAGACATACTCACTCCTCGGACATATGCTCTTCGGCAATACTAAATGACACCCGAACCGCGACAAGTCGATATACCAAAGTATACAGTCCTCTGACTGCTTGCATTTTGACACGTCTTCGTACATTCTTTCTTGTATTTTCTTACTGTTGTGGCTTCACGCAGTACTGATCGTATGAGTATGCTATCATGTGCTAGTAGTCGCGCAATTTATATCAGCGATTCCCACTATGATCCGGAAAGCCATCAGATAAAAATGCGTATTCATAGCAGCTTATTATATGATGCTTCGTAGAACGAGAATCCCGAGAGAGCGTTCATGGCTGCAGCTTTCACACAGTTCCGTGGAGCCCGGCTATTAAAGCACATCTTCTTTTCTGACGGTAAGGGCCTGTGAAAACCCGACCACCCATGTCGCCACACCCGATAATGGTTCTCTCGCAATGTGAAGACATATTGCTTTCTCGTGAGACCCGTATTTCCTAGTAGAATCCGTATTTCTTCGTAAAACCCGTTTTTGCTTGCGGAATTCTTGTTTGTTTGTGGAATAAGTATTTTCCAATCACCTCTGTCATGCATCTGTCACCATCCTTAGACACGCCTTGAAATATGTGCTCGTGAAGCTTGGCTGAGTTCTCAGTAGCCCAAGCCACCCTGGTCAAAGGCCTCTAAATTTGACCATAGCTCTTGGTGAGAATCTGCGTCCCATCACATTCACGAGTTTGATTACTCTCATAAGTTTCTGCAAACTCAAACTGACTTTTGATACCACTTTCGCTTCTAATGGGAGGGCCGTGGCCAGCCAGAACAGCTGGTTTAAAGGTTTCTCGCCTGGCCATATATATGGGCGAGCTCCTCAGTAGCCTGAATTTACGACTTCATTCATCCTGCACCGCTTTTCTGCCAGGGGCCACTCTTTGGGTCGGTTCTGGGATATCCCTTCTTCTACAACGTATGGACCTGCATGCACTGCGCCTAACCGGAGATTTGGCCACAGATCAGAAAGGCGGCTTGGCGTCTACAAGGGCGGTGCCCAGATTTTAATTCATGTGATGTTTCCTTGAGTATGTACAGAAAGAGGGTGGTGGTTTTGCGCGATGTTGCTTGCTATGCTCCGTCTACAACTGAGGCACCAAGAATTCCATCAATGGAGACTGGATGAAAGCAACGCCAGCAGCAAAAAGAGCCACCTGCACGGCTGCAGTGAAGGCTGGAGCATTCTTGATCTGCTCGAATCTGGATGGTTCTTGCTTTGGGGCCATTTTTGGATATGTGGATGATTAAGAGACACCGGGCCTAGCTAACGCCCGTCAATGAATGATGAAAACTTTCGCGCGCACATGCAGGTCCGTTTGCCGTTGCGGGCCAGGATGAGTGGCCAGAAAACGATTGTGCAACCCAGAACTGGCCTGCAATTCATTTCATGCGTTTCGTTTGATTGTTGTCTATAGAGCGCAAATGGACTCCTTTGCTCATGAATCTTTTTATCGGGGTTCTGGAGACCCGATTTTTAAGTCAATATTTTGCGTAATGTCAAGAATTGTGAATAAGGGAAGAACTCTCATAAGAATTGAGGAATTGAGAACACAGCTTTCCCAGCAAGTGCCACAAACATAGCCCATATGAGCACAGCTCCCCACACTGCAAATTATAAACATGCTTGCTTCATAGATCGTTCCGACCGGCTCGCCGTAAACTACCGGAACTGGCAGAAATAGAGGCACTCCACCACTGGAGCATCCCAAGCAGCCATCGAGAGCACTGCATACTGCCCGGGCCCAGCCGCGAGCTTGGTGATCTGAAAACACACGGTTCTACATTCTTACTCCATCTTTGTATTCAGCAAAAAAGCAAACATGGCCGCTTTGAACAAGGACGTGGACGTAGGGGTCACTGAAAGCACCACTTTCTCGATCGCAGGCAAGCAGATCAAGTTCAACAGCGCCGAAGACATCGCACCGTATGTTCAGCAATTGGCTGCGCAAGATGGGGTCCGCAAAATCGATATCAGCGGTAACACCATCGGAATCGACGCCTCGGAGGTGTTCGCCGCGGCCATCTTGAAACACAAAACCACCCTTGTAGAGGTAGACTTCTCCGACATATACACGGGCAGATTGAACACGGAGATTCCCCAGTCGTTGCAACATTTGTTGCCTGCACTCTTGCAATGTGCCGACTTGAAGGTGGTGAATTTGAGCGACAACGCGTTTGGCTTGCAGACAATCGACCCGATCGAGGAGTACCTCGCGAAGGCGGTTTCCGTAGAGCACTTGATACTTTCCAACAATGGCATGGGGCCATTTGCCGGTGCGCGGATCGGCAAGTCTTTGTTCCAGTTGTCCTTGGCGAAGAAACAACAAAAGTACCCGTCATTGAAGACTTTCATTTGCGGCAGAAACCGCTTGGAAAACGGCTCCATCAACTACTTGGCCATCGGCTTGCGGGCACACGAACACTTGCACACGGTCAGATTGTACCAGAACGGAATCCGCCCGGCCGGAATCGAGAAGTTGATTTTGCAAGGTTTGGCCCGGAACAGCCACTTACAAGTGCTCGACTTACAGGACAACACGCTCACCACGCGTGCCGCCATCGCCTTGGCCGAGCTGCTCAGTGCATGGGATTCTTTGGTTGAGTTGAACTTGAACGACTGTTTGCTCAAGCCCAAAGGCTCGCTTGCTTTGGCCGACCATCTTGCCAACGGCAGTGTGAAAAGCAAGTTCGAGACATTGAAGTTGCAATACAACGAGTTGGAGGCAGACGCGTTGAAGCGCTTGGTGCGCGCCGTCTCGGAGAAGTTGCCGCACTTGAAAACCTTGGAGTTGAACGGAAACAGATTTGACGAGGAGGCCGAGGAAATCGATGCCTTCAACTCTGTATTTGAAGCCAGGGGCCATGGCGAGCTTGATGAGTTAGACGAGTTGGAGGAGTTGGATAGTGACGAGGAGAACGAAGATGATGACGAAGACGACGAGGACACCTTTGACGGCGCTGCTGCGGATTTGAACCAGCTAGAGGCCGAGTTGGCCGGCTTCTCTGTCGAAGATAAAGACTCGACCGTTGACTCTATCGCTGATGAGTTGGCTGGCACTCACTTGAAGTAAATGTGATGATGTGTGGACTTCCGTATGGATTAATGCACGCATCTTATATGTGCTCTATATGAAATAAAAAATGTACGGGATTTCAGCACAATCTGGGTTAGTTGCTGGGGATCTTTGCTATAGTCACTGGCAACTTGAGCTCGATCATCTCACCTGTAGATATCTTGATGAGAAGCCGGAGATAATACATTCGAGCCAAGCTGCAGTTCTGGAAACTGGGCACCAAACAAAACTCATCGACAGATGAATAGTCCGCGGATATGTTCTTGGTACTTGGTGACTTCTTTTGTGCCTTTGAGGCATCCACAACCAAGGAAAACTCCTTGCAGAATATTCCATCTCTGCTCTCCATCTCAATGGCCGGTTGAGTTTCTAAATCTTTTACAGATCCATCCGTCTCAATAATGAAGGCATTTCTCAAACTCAAATGGTTGGTTTTAGATTCGACCGCCGCCAAAGCACACACGTCTTCAAGTAATGACTTCTCTACTTTGAAGTCTTTTGAGCCGATTTCTTTCAAGGCCGAGTAGAACTCCAGTGAAAACTTCTTAAAAGGCTTTTGCACAATATTCTCAAAATTGTCCGTCAGTTTGAAGTCAACAATCTTGCAGGACTTATTTTGGAATAGGTGATCATGTGTGATCTCAACAGGAACTGGGAACTTTCCTGCTTTCATCGTAAAGACCACTAACTCGGGAACAATGTTGGAGATATAAGGAGCTTTGGCTCCTTGCAAGCAATCGGCCGGTTGAAAGCTAATTTTGATTGGTGCCTCTAGTTTCCACAAATTCTTGTTTTCCGAAGCATTCTTGAAACGTCTAGGCGACATATAGTTCAAGATATAATCTGTTTTTGGGCTTGAAATCTGAAACATTCCCTGGTATTTGACTGCACCCAAAAGCCTTTTTTTAATGATAGGAATGGAGATTAGGTAATCTTTTGGCTTGATTATCTCGGAGTCAATCCTTTTGGAAAGATCGTCGAGACGCGTATACAAATGCCGAGTTTTGAGGGCATTGGATACTGCGTCACCTGAGTTTGCTATCGAATTATTTGCCGGCAAGATATTTGTAACAGGCTTTCCCTCAGCCAAAAGTTTGCGCATCTGGGCGCCAAGCTCAAGCTTCTCTTGAATCCTTCCAAAAAGGTTGTCATATAAGATTCTGGCTGTTTCTGCATTCATATGCTTTTCGGCACTGCTGAGGACTAAGGATTCCTGAACTACCCGAATAAAGGAGCGAGACTCTCTGAAAATAATAAACTCGTCACCTGCTGCATCGATCAATTTGGTGTCCAAGTCAAACTTGTCATTCACTTTGAAATCTGATGCTTTACCGATAAAACGAGCCAACACACTATAATTTGTGGAGGTGTCGATAAATGAGAAATCATTCGACGTTTCCCAGAGGTTACCCATCAAGCGCTTTTCTTTTTCACTGAGCCCTAAAGTTGGCGGTAAGGCCGTGTGACTGGGTAAGTTATGATTATTGCACTCTGTGTCCAACAATCGCTCCGGAATCTTGAATGTGAAAAATCGTTTGTACAAGACCCCAGGCTCCAATTCTCGGCCAGCGATACGTAATTTTGCCAGATCAACTGGGTCAATGAGTCCGAGGCATGTAGTTTGACCATCGTTTTTCTCAGATAGCAAACGGTCGATTCTGGACTGGTTCCATGAGGCAGCAAAGTCGTACATTTCCAAATACTTCCTGACCTTTATTTTTTCTTTCTTCGGCGTGTGGCCCTTGTCTGTGACAGTTAGATTTCCCTCAAAAAGCACGTAGAACATATTGAAGGGAAGTGGGAAAGAACAGTTGTTCTTGATAAGAATGTAACCATTTAAATAATCACCCTGCTTGTACTCAAATTGCAGTGGATCTATGTGTTTTGGGACCACTCCAGACTGGCCCACATCTTCCGTGAAGTGAACAGAAAGCTCGACGTTTTGCGTGTAAGAATTATCAGAGGAAGAGTAATTTCTCAAGTTGTCTATGTTATCCAAAATCGTTTCTCTCCAAGTATGTGTGGATTCATCGGCAACAATAAGACTAGGGCTGGATGTCGACAGAACGGTGTCTGCCACATCAAGGTTGAGACGGTTTTCATATGATGTTGCCGGAGTAGTTTCTGTGTTAGCATCGCTGGAGAGATAAGAGGGTGAATATGATGATTCATGCACTGACGCTGCTTCTCCATATTGTGGGGGATCCTGGCCGCCGTTAAACGTGTTCTGGTACATATCATAAGAAGGAAGGATAGACCACACAGGGTCCGTCTTTTGAGCTGCCTTAGGTTCCATGACCGAATGTGCAGATAATTGAGGACAATGATGACTTGAGATTTGTTTATCCAGTCAATCTTTTCGACAGCTGTGTTCTTGGTGGGGCAATTCCTAAAAGAACTTTAATAAGATCTGGATGGAAGGAACTAAACAACGAAAGCAAGGGGCCAGAACACAGTTGTTCGACTACCTCAGGTTTTTCCGGGTTCTCTTATGTAATTATATGTGCCAAAGATATAAGGAGCGAGTGGCACATATTTTATACTTCTTTCACCCATTGGATGACTCAAGACAATACGAATGCGTCTCGGCCGCTCTATCATCTTGCGTCCCATATGCAGAGATGCAGCACAAATCTGGAAAGCTTGAGAGGATAACACAGGCTATTGGAGTAAACGGGACCAGCTAGTCATACATACGTAAACTTCCAACTAATTGGAGCAATCATGTAGGAGTTTTTAGCTCATCATGAGATCAAAAAAAGATGTGGGTAATCTCTACGGATCATTCTTCGACAATCAATGCAGAACACGCGGGGCCGCCAAATGACGCGGCTCTCCTGCATTCGAATAAAAGCGAGCGGCAGTTGCCCGAAAGGGGTTTTGAATATGACAGACGAAGATCTGTATATTTGAGAGACATGCCAGCTCCTCATTCTATACTTTAATGGTATTTGTGAAAATAGGGTTAGACAACGGGACAGCTAAGGCACCTGAATTTTGAGTCTAAATTTGCCGATAAGGTACATCCGCTCGTCCATGTGAATGTTCAAAATTTCAAGCAACATCAGGACCTCTTCTATCTCGCACCCCCACCACGAGACATTCTGCGGCCTTCCATTCTCCAGGCATTACGAGACTTGTGGGTAGTTCTCATCCGAAGCCAATCAACTCATTCAACCAATTGTGTGAAATTGGCTGGATATATTTGAAAACTAATTTTTAGCCTAGCAAAGCATCTCTATCTTGGATATTACATATATAAAGGGGCATCGGTCTTGGAAGCTGTTTGGGTCTTGCAAAAATAATGGAAACAATATTTCTTTTGACTAGGCTCTATGACTAATAACGGAAATGCACAGTCGTGATATTTTATTTTGGAAATACACCAATAGAACTATGTCTAAACAGAGTCTGAGAGTCCACGGATACGTATTTTCAAATCTCAGGAATTATAAATATATTACTGATACTCTAGGATATACAGAGTCATCAAGTACCAGCAAAAGGTATTAGATTGCATGAATGTCGAACCGTACAGATATCGATGTCCGAGTATGACTCTTAATCTGGTAACACAAGAAAACCGTCGGAACTTGCAAAAGAGCCATAAATAAAGTTATCGCCCAAACTTTTTGAGCTCCAAGTACCGAAGCCATGGATAGACCACCCCACTGAATCCCATACAAAGCCACATGGCAATATCTCCACCATATTCGCCACCAACTTTCCTGGCCAAAGGCCCCACCCAGTATGTTTGGGACATTCCTACAGCAGCCCCAGCAGCGCCACAAAGAAACGCCACGGTGGCAGCAAAGCCCTGCGTGAGCTTTCCTTGCGTGTTCCATATAAGGAAGTTGTAGTTGCAGTTTTCGCCGCCACTTAAGGACGAGGTGTCGGAGTCCGTGTCTTCGAATTCTTTGGTGTACAAATGCTTCATTCGCTTCGTGCGGAAGATAGTGTTTTCTTCCAAGAGAAGAAAAAAATAGATGGAAATCCAGTACCCAACCATAGGCAAGAAGTTGCCCAAAATCGTGGCGAACTTGTACCGGCCAATGATCGACAACGCCAAGTACAAACCGGTCATGAGAAGCGACCAGAGCCATCTGGGGACCCGGGCCAAGGGGAGACCAATGATTTGCATGCCAAATACCGCCAGGTACGTGTTGATGATGTTGTTGGAGATCAACGAAAGGAAAATAAGCACTAACAAGAATTTCCCCCCGGCACCCCAGGGCTCGAAAACAGCAGCCAAGAGCCCTCCCATACCCAACGTGTCGTAAGCTTCTGCCCATGGCGTGTAGTTCATGGCAATGTTACCGATCAAAAGAGCGACGATTCCCACAAACGACGTTGGAAGGAAGATGCCAAAAAATGTCAATGCAAAAACCTTTAGATCGGGCGTGTCCTGCGGAAACAAAATGTAGTAGTCCGCAGCAATAGAGCCCCAGGTCGAGGTCGTTGAGAAGCACAAGGCAAAAAACGAAATGGCGTTTCCCCGTATCGTGGCCGAGTCTTCTCCCACTGCGTCGGCTAGCGATAAGTAGTGGTACTTGTTTGCCAATACGATATACAACATCATGAACGCAGTCATCACAGGAACAGAGAGAAGTGCCTCGACCTTGAGCAAGGGCCTGATTCCGCCGATCGAAATGCACAAAGACACTACGGCGATAATCACAATGGACACCACCAACAGCACCTTGCCGTCGCTCACAGAGTTCAAGATTTGTCCGCCCACAATGCAATTGACCACAGACCAGCCCATGACACCCACTATGCTGACTATGGCCACCAACTTCACCATCCACCAGCCGAAAAGAAAACGCGCTGTGACCATTTGCCGGCACCCCGACCGGGGGCCCATGAGGGAGCAATAGGCCGCCACCAAACAGCCAAAGAACTGGCCCAACATTCCGGTGATCATGGATTTCTTGAGCCCGAGCCCAAACAATAACGGCCCGAGGTAAAACACCGACATCGATGAAAGACCGCCGCACGCAGAAAACCAAAGGCCGATCACGGTTATGAGCTGCTTGGCCTTATTGGTGGACCGCCTATAGGGCGAGACTCTTTCTATTCCAGTGGCTTCCACTCCTATGGAATCCAAAATGTCGCTCAATTTTTTAATAAACATGTACGGTTTAATTTCGTCCTTCTCTTCCACAGTCCTGCTGGACTCATGAATGACCAGGTCACCTGTCTTTTCTTGTTTCGACATGACCTCAAATGTACAAACAGCGGAGCCGAAATAGAGAAAGGCGGTATTTGAAGATTTTCTTTTATAAAGATGCCTTGGTTGGGCTAGACTTGAAGAAAAGAAGGTTCACTAGAGATTGCAAGCCCTGGCCAATGACTCTTATTTCAACCTGACTCGGTCATCCGGTGCAGGAAAACCCGAACCCGATGAGCTGCACCTCGGGGATAAGACGAGCAGCCGCGTCTGGAATGTGGTTCCGCGAGATCAACTGAGTTTGTCAAAAGACAGCATTTCTTTATACGGTTGAATATATTCTTCTGGATTTTTTGCATGTGAACTTAAACTAAGATCCTGATTCATACAGAAAAAATTATTATCCTTTAAAAAAAGAAAGCCCGATGCGGGGCTCGAACCCGCAACCTTTTGATTGACCTTATTGAGATTAAGAGTCAAATGCTCTACCGATTGAGCTAACCAGGCTGATATATTTTGTTGGAGAGATAGAAAAATTTACAAAGCAAGATTAATTTACAACCAGTTACATGCCTTGTCTTATCAGACAATGTTTATCGAGACAGATCTTTCATCGGATTATTTTTGCATATTTGATGGGTTGCACTATGGTCACGGGGTCTGAGGAAAAAATAAACTATGGGACGATACGTAGCTGGGAGCTGTTTAAAGGTTTTTATATATATTCGTTATATAGTTTTGCCCCTTTAATCAGATGAATCTACCAAAAAAAAAATAAAATAAAAAGATGACATTTAGTTAGTATCATTCAAGTGGTTGACGTCGGTATTGGGAAGACGTCTTTTTCTTGGGGGGGGGGGATCACATACTTCGGAAAGCTTTCGTGAATTGGTGCTCGCGCATTATTATCTGAGCCAATGCTGAATCTAATATATGTGTTTTTGGTATAGTTTTTTGTTAGTGGTGAGGTCTTACACCCCTCCAATGACACCCTATAGTATGGTGTTTCTTCAAAAAAGAAAAGAGAGCTTGTTTGGGCTCGAATTAAGCTTCTTAAATCCTCTCCAGCCACCTGAGTTTGCTGAAGTGTCTACTACAGGAGACCCATCCTAGGAGTCGACGACGTAATATCCAATGCGCAAACAGATACGGGCCATGAGGACCGTCCTGGCAGTGACTAACGGAAGGGGACGGGCCGAGCTAAGACACTTGTAATGTATATGAGGGCTCTTTGAAGGTTTTCAATATAATATTTGTATATTTTTGCTTCTATAATCAGATGCATCTACCGAAAAAATAATAAAAAAACCTATAAGAGGGACAGCCCACGCCATGACTAAAATGAACGGAGAAGGGCCGCACTTCTATCGCATAGTTTTCAGCTCATAGTGGTATATGCGATGTTACGCTGTTTTAAAACTGCCAGCGGCTAATATGTATGTTTTTTAAAAAAACCTTTGTATTAGCGATGTGGCTGATTGAACAGGGTTTTGGAGCTTTTAATGGTATTTCATAGGCTTTATCATTTGCTTAGATGGCCCTGACGGAAAGATCCAAAAACAAGCCTGGTTCGAATTGCCTACAACTAAACATCTACCTACTTGATTGGTTTCAAAATGCCATATCCCACTCAAACGTGAGTTTTTTAATAAACAAAACTGAATAAATTAGAACACAGAGTGGTCTGTAGAGTAAGAGAAGAGTGAATACGAGTACGCTTTTGGTGATACTGTGATGGTTATAGGTCGTCAATGTCCTCGCTTTCCTTGTTTCATCTGTATATATTTTGAATTAAGTATTTGACCACTGATAATCCTCCACCTTTTGTGAACTTTCAGGGAACTTGAGACATCTCTCTACTACCCAGAGTAAACGGGCATGAAGACGGATGTTTTGGACACAAGAGCTAAAGCCATACGTACGGAGAGCTTGTTTTGCTTGTTTGTTTTTGATGAGTCAAACTCTTTTCGGGGAATATTCTTGTTGCTCGGTAACGTGATGAATACATTGAGCTGTCTATCTTGTCATTGTGGGATCGCTGGCTGGGAAGATGCGACGTGTGACTTTACGATTACAAGACGCTCAAACAAAATTGCTGGATTGTCTTTCCGATAGGAGACTTATGATGACTAAAAACTCTAAAGAAAGAACCCTTTCTCATTCCATGAACAGTATTAAAGTTCTGTCGGGAACAAATGCTAATGAACGGAACATAACTGTGGTGTGTTTGAACAAGCTTTCTTTTTGTATAATTGTCAATTCATTGTTTTCCAGAACATATGAAGTTTCAAGGAAGTCGTGTACGCCGTGTCTTGTCTCTAGACTGCTACCGCAGTCTATCCACCATAAAATCGTATCACCATATTGAACTTGTGTGACCAACCCTGGGAGCAGCCGGAATCTTCTTTAAGAAGAACATAGTGTTTCCTTCACAAATTTACGAAAGATAAAAGGAAATAGTTCCTTACTCCTTTAGAAGCGCATCCAAGGTTTCGCTGTCAAACATATTGCTTCCCGACTGAAGCGTTTTGGCCAACAAAACAATCGAATTGTTGGTGAAATCTGGTTTTTTGCGGAGCTGGTCAAGATCGTCAGAAAAGGTGGTGGCCATGTAGGCCAAATACTTATTCTCCAATTCCTGTCTATCTTTCTGCACGGTCTCCTTCGCGTCCGCTAGCGACTGGTTCTGGGTAGATGTGAATTTGATACTGTCGACTTGTTGCTGGATTTCCTTTGAAAGCTGCAAGTGCTCGAGTTCGTCTTTTGTTTCCGTGTCGGAGGTGACGTCCATATCGTCAATGGAAACTTGTTGCTGTTGTTTCTCTACCAGCTCAGTTTGCTTCAGCTTGGGGCTGGCATCGTTGTCTGAAGAGCTGCTAGAATCCGAGTCGGAGTCCGAGGAGAAATCCTCAGTTCTTCTCTTCTTCCGTCTTCTGTTTTTCGTCTGTTTTGTGTGCACGGAAGCTGGAGCCATTGTTTAACGAGGTCAAGGTATGGCGATGAGCTGATGCGAAAAGCGGCTTTGGAGAACGTGAAGCAGGGAGTGCACAGTGGGCCCCATGTCCGCTAGATCCTGGCTGCGAAATACCCAAGGTATGACAGCCGATGTATGAGGTCCTAAAATTTTAATTATCTTAGAAAAATAGAAGACATTACTCTCACAATGTTTCATCTTTGGTGCGAGAATTGGAAATTGTTGCAAAAGCACGACATTGAATGCCAGTACGCCGAGTCCTGGCCCGGCTTCAAGCTATAGCCTGCAACATCAGTTATTACCAAGTGTCCAAACATCAACGCCAAATATTGAAAAGAGAAAAGAAACAAAATACAGAAAGTGGAGGTGGCGATGTGATGCGTCAACATCTATTCCTTCTTGGGCTTTTTTGCCGCATCGCTCACCGGCTTGGCCTTTCTTTTTTTGACCATCGAGGACAAGTCGTTCACTGTAGGCTTTTCCGCCGTTTCGGTGAATGCACGTGCGGCCCCAGAGCCAGCCACAGCCTCGCCCAAAAGACCCTTGATGATGTCCAACTGCTCGGCCTCGACCTCCTTCTCGGGGTCCTTCTGGAGTTCTTTGTGCCTCTCTTCCAAATCACGGAGCAAGCCCGCGTTTTCAGTCTTTTTCGTATCGTCCAAGTCGGGCTGGTTCTCTGCCTGGGCCTTAACCACTGCGATTGCCAGTCTCACGTGACCGGCGGCCTTGGATCTCAGGTCCGGGTCCTCAATGCAGAATTCAAGGGCCAACGACAACTTGTAGTGGGACTCCGAGATCCACGAGGACGTGGTCCCGCTGTACAATTTCTTGCGCAATTCTAGACAGGCCTCCAAGTCCGTCGCTGCCTGCAGAAAGTTCTCGGTCTCCAATGACACTTCGCCAAGAAGGTCGTAGGTTTCGGACAATTTCTTGATGGTCTCGACATATTTATTGGATGGCTCCGCGTCATCAGAGACCAAATATGGCGGCTGCAAATCCGCGGCGTTTTGCGCCGAATCCTCCACGACTTTCTCCAACAATGCCCGCGTGAGGTCGAGGATATCCCAAGCTGCCTCGAAATCCGACTGCTCTTCTTCGGGAGCACCTTCCTCATCGTCCGAGTTGTCGGCGTTGCCTGCCTCGCCGGCGGTTTCTGTGTCAGAATCCCCGTCTTCTTCGGCCAGGGGCACGTGATCCTCTTCCTCGTCGTCCATGTCCCCTTCAGCCGTGCCTTCGTGGAACTGAAATCCGCTCTCATCCTCGTCATCCTGGTTTTCTGCCAGGCCACTTGATTGATCTTCCGATCTGCTCACCGTACTCACACCACCCAATACGCCAGATTTGGCCACGCCGTTCTGGAAGAGGGCTTTTCCGTAGAGTAAAAGAAGGTCCGGGTCGTCCCGTGAGTGCTCCTCATTGAATGCAGCACACGCGTCGGCATAGCTGGTGGCGGCCTGTTCATAGTCTTTGCTAGAGTACAATTTGGCACCCTGGGTGATGAATCTGGTGACGGTGTCTGAATACATTAAGCGATTCGTGAAGTCGTTAGATGGGGCGAGTCGATACGCGTACATTTGCGCTAACGAAACGCGCGTTTTTTCATGCCGCACCCGGCTGTTCATTGCAATAATGGGCTGGGAGGAGGAATTTGCAATAGGCCGCTTCTTTGAAAGTTAGTGCTGTTTTGTCTTCTTTGCATAATGCATTGAGCTGCTGCAAATTTTCAGAAGTTATGTAGGTACGTGTGAAAAATAGCGGGCCTATTCTGTGGGCAGCCTTCCTTAGTGCCCCAAGGCTTGGCTCCCTTCACTGCGGCTTATGCATTTGAGAACGCCGATTTCACTGATAAGAAGGCTTTCTGTCTCCACAAAAAGAACAGCAAAGAAATCACGCACATCTTCTTCACAAAGACCCTGTGAGCTTGCAATTGACAGAGAGTTCAATAGCCATAATAACAAGATCCTTTCTGTTTTCTCAATTGCTGCAAATAAGAGCAAAATACTCGGAGCCACTCGCAGTACCATGTCACAAAAATACTTTCCTCTTGATACAAGGGTGGACTTGCCTGTATCAGACACCGAGATATATCCCAAGGAGTCTTTCCAGCTATACGACTTTCATCTGAAATCCTATCTTGATGATTTGAGCCCGGATGAAAACTTCCAGTTTAATGCAAGGCCATGCACACAGCATCTGCTCAACCAGGAGCCATTTGACTTCCACCAGTTTGTGCCGTATCAACTTCAGTTGGAAAAAAGCGGTCTTTTTCCCGAGTTCTACTTCCACTTCAGAAGAGCTTTTGCGGCCATGTCGATCGAAAACAGAGCATACTGCTCCACAAGCTTGGAGATATTCAAATCGTTCTTCATTGGGTCAGCGCCTGATATCCAGAGTTCAATAGTGAGGGTGGAGAACGATTATGAGCTGAAGTTCAGAAAGTGCCTTGGTCCAGAGCTACTCAAAGAATTCTCGTCATGGTATCTCACTCGATCTTGCGTGGAAACACGATTTCGTGAGAAATTGCGTGAGAACGTGGATCTTATATCGTATTCTCACAGAGTAAATGAGTTGACCAGCAGGGCCCGAGACTACGAAGTTTTGCCTTTGGTAGACTTCCTCATGGCATACGAGCATTCCGAAAGCTCGATCTGGCACCATGTATTGATTGCCTTTTCTAACGACACTCAATCAGAAAAAAGGATCCAGTACTTAAACACCAAAGCAGTGGAATGGAAGAACGTCGACATTTCCCTCACACGTCAGATTCAGGGGTTTGTCAGTGACCTCAGAGAAGAAGACATTCAGAACTCGGATCCCGATGCCTGTCTCGTATTCACTTTCTGCGTGTGTCTGGTCATTGTGTTTTTTATGATTGTAGTTATGGCAAGAAGTTAGAGGTCTACAGAGTCATACGGGATATGGAAAACAAAAGCAAAGTAGGTGTCATGCGTAAGAACAAGAAAAAACCGACGATCCTCGAGCTATGTCGACATCATTCAGCAAGACTCAAAGGGCCCTGCGAATCCATGTAGCAACTTGGTTGCGAACACCATGAGTAGCAAAGGATTCCCGAGTCTTCTTGACAGTTTCTACTCATTTGATCAATTTCTGACATCAAATTTTTTTGCCAATCCAGTTCATGCGAATGTCTGATTTGGCACTATATACTGGTCGCTTATGTCGAGGGACCTGTTTCTTGCTGCACTGCCCGCGAGTCGGCTGATAATCACATCGCCGAATACAGCCTCGATAGTATGAGATATGTGCTAATCAGGGAAAAGGGAGGGAAGAGCGTTTTGGAAACGGGACACTCCCAACAGGCCGGCTGAAGTTCGACAATGCAGAGAGCTCGAGGTGAAGCCAATATAGCGCCGTCACGTGACGCACGATACCTTCATGTATCATTATCTAACGAGTTGGCCAGCACAACTTCTCCTGTTTGAACATAGTCTACATCAACACAACAAATACATACTTGCCGCAGCCTTTCAATTAGTGCAGTCATTACACGATCTCAATCTTCTAGCAACTCATACTTTCTGCCCGCTATTTCCGAACCGGAAACACATGCTACTATGAGCGGAGTAAACAGGTCTTTGAGACGCAAGCCTCCTCCTCCAGTTGAAGCAACTTCCCCCCAATTTTTGTCTGCTCCTACTGCAGACGAAATAGACTTACCCCTGGTACTGCCATTGATGCCTGATCCACATGCGTCGCCTTTTCTGCTTCCGTACAGAACCGAGAAAAGACAGCCGCCGATTCTGCTCACCATGAACGCTGATCTCTCGTATGACTCGACCTACGGCCACGACAATGAAGAGCATGCAGATTTTGCCGACTACGCCGAGGATCTGCTTTTGTCGTACGAAAGCCCGCGGCTCAAGGGTCCGCAAGTCTTGACTCTCGGGGAGATTGACCTGGACTTCCTGTCGTCCGTTCCCCTGCCCATAAAGAGCAATTTACTTGCTGTCAGCGAGCCGTCAAGCCCTTTGTTTTTGAGTAAAGCACCGGAATTTCTTTCGCCACCCAACAGCGGTGCACAGGCCAATCACGACAGTCTGAAACACAGCCTTGCGGGCAACCAGCTATCAGAGAGAAGAGCGTCGTACCGCCTGCGGAGGTTCCAGAACCTTCTGCAAAGAGGCACGTCGCCCCTAAGAATACTCGAGTCGGATGAAGAGGTTCTGCATGAGTCGCTGGCCCAGCGCATGGCGCCGCTATATTCGGGCGCAACCCACACCCCTCTGCCCAAGAGCTTACCATACCCTGTTTCGGATGCATACTCTTCGGACCAGGACTCCGATGAAAGTGCGGCGAACGATACTTTCGAAGGGATTTCCGGCCGCAGACACCCACTGCGAACGACGCCCACGCGGATCCCATCGTTGGTGGCCAAAGACTCGATGAAAATGCTGGCTCACGCCTCGGCTGCACATAACACCAGTCCACCAGACTTCCGGTTTCTTCGAAACTCGCCGCCAAGACTTGGGAACCTGCCGTCCACGCTGCCTGAACTGCTGTCGCGCCACCATATCTCTTCTCCGCTGAGCTCTCCCCCACGCACTTCCATCAACAGGCGCCTGCTGCAAATGTACTCAGGAATCGTCAGTGATTCCCGCAGCAGCCGGTCGCCCTCGCCGAAAAAGCACGCCGGATCTTCCAAGGCTCCGAAATCGGCGCTTTATCCCTACGAGGAAGACTACCTGGACGTGTTTGCAGACTACTACAACCAGGAACGCGTGCCCCGGTGGAGCTTGATTGAAAACGACGGGTTCGACTACTACGATGACTCGTTCATCATGCCGCCGGACACCAGCCAGTTTGACTACACGATTCTTCCCGAGCTCCCGAAATGGCTGGACGAGTCGCTCGATAAATCCATCCTCTCGCCGCCTCTTAAGCCCACACTCACGCTTCGCAGGAAAAACGATGCACTTCCCCCTGTACCACTAGACTTACCTCTGCTTCCATTCCTGCCTGCGGCCCTCTCGGCATTTCATTTTGCCACATGCACCAACGTATGGTCGCTCAGTGGCATATACCTGTGGTGCCTCCAACTAAACGGATGGATACATAAGCAACCGCTCTCAGTGAAGGAACTCCGAAAGGTCCTCATGCGGCTTATTGCGTTTCACAAACAGGACGTACCAATTGACTTGATCAGCAGGAATGTCACCCAGATAATAGACGCGTTCACCGACGAAAACATACTTGTTTTCGAGCCCACTACAGAACCAGATGATAATCCAAAAAATAGACACATCCGCTTTGTCGAAAACGGCTTCACCAGTGGGGTCTTGGTAGACCTCACCTCATGCTATTGTGTCGACGAAGACCACAAGCTGACAGAGCGCAGAAACCTTGCCTTAAAGTGCTACTCCTCCCAGTGCCTGATTAACAAAACAATTGAGCATGAAAATCAAATGCGCACGACCAACATTAAGGAGTTGGTTCTCGGCAATGATTGGGCAAGCCATTGGAAACTTGCAGCTCAAGACATGGCCATTGATCTTTCTGAATCAAAGAGACAGTCGTTTCTTTTTGATTTGATAAAGTTCGAGCAAAATTTCATACTAAGAGCCGAATGCTTCACAGACATTGCTGGCCCTGAATTCATAAAGCTAGCGAAGCTCATGATGGGCACGAGCTCCATCAGCTCAATGAAAGAATTTGAAGATAAAGTACTTCTCTCCGCCAAGCAACTTCTCTCAATACATCGTGTGTCTCTTTACGAGCCGTTGTTGAAAATACTTGTTTCGGATGGAAAATTTATCAAAAATCTTAATGGAATGGCTGCGCTTTACAAAGCGTGGGCTCAAGAAGCTAGGGCTCCGCTTTTAGCTTATATTAGCGCCATGCCCATGATCGAGGATCTTCTTTCAAATGCGGCATTGAGAAAATGGGATGAGCTAATAAGATCGCATCCCAGAATGAAGGAGTTGCAAGTGAATGGAAATTTACTTCTAATGAGCACATTCAATTCCAGGTATCAACAACTTCCGCTCCAACTCTTAGACGTGAGAAAGTTTTTTGACGAGGAAGACGAGGAATATGTCTCATTATCTCGCGCGATAGATGCAATCCGTCACCTTGGCAATAAAGTAAACGAAATGAAGGTTCATTCGGACAATGTGCACGCACTCAGATTGGTGGAAAAGCAGCTCACGTGGAAGTCAAATATACCCCAGCCTCGTCTCAACCTCAAGTCCTCCCGGCGAAAGTTCTTCTTCCGGGGAGATTTGATTCGCAAAGGTGACTTGAAAATCAATTCTCATTCTGCACATGTGATAGTGCTAGACAACTATCTTCTTATAACCGAAAAGCAGCGTACGCAAAAAATGAACACTTACAAGGTTACAGAGACGCCAGTACCGTTGGATTATCTTATTGTTGAAAATCGAGAAAAAGAAACCAATGTTCTTTCGGTAAAACCATCATCTACGCAGGCGTCGGCGAACATGATGAATGGAGTTAACGAGGAGGTGTCGTCATACCCTTTCAAAATACGCTACGCTGGACGTGGCAAAGGTGAGAACCACACTTTGATTGCGGCAACCGAAAAAGCACGAAAGAGATGGATCGCTGTTTTGATTCAAGCTAAATCTAATTTGTTGAAAAGAGTACTGTCCATGACTCCATACAATTTTAAACTTGTGGACAACTCATTCTTCTCGTATGAACCTGGACTGCGAGTGAGCAAACTCCCTATAATGTGTCTCGCGGATCCGATTTTGCATCTAGCCAGAGAATCAGCCCAAACTAGCGGTGAGTTCCTGAGTAGGCCTCTGGTGAACCGAAATGTTCAATGTTCAGAAATGTTTGGTTTCGTTGACGAGAATTTTATTTTCTTGGGAACAAGTGCAGGCGTCTATTGTTCAGACGGGAAAAACACGTGGAAGAAAATCATTAACATGAACAACGTTGCGAAGGTGACGGTTATTCCCGAGCTTAGAATCGTGCTTGTCTTGGCAAGCAAGATCTTACGTTATTATCCGCTCCAGCTGCTCGTGAACATTTACTATGAGAAAACAGATAAAGTCACGTCGTACCAGTTGTCCAACGAGGGTATTCTATTCTATGAGTATGGCTGTCACCGCGGTCTTCCAATGCTTTTTGTTGCCAAAAAGAAGTATGCTGGCACGACATCCTTCAAAGTATATGTCTTCGAAACAGATAACAACGGCATTTTCAGCACATTTACGGTCTTGGAAAGGTTTTATATTCAAGCAGAGTGCCATGGGATATCCGTGTTCAACTCTTCCGTGGCTGTTTACACGCCGAAAGGAATCGAAGTTCTAGACTTGCAAAAGCTCACACCTAGAAGTGTGCCGGAACTACCACCGTCAGACCCTAGCTCCAAAAAGCTTGACGGCTACAGTCGGAAAAAATCCGTGCAGTCCACGGATGTCATAAAGAAGATGATCTCACACGCTTCTCCTATGGGCATGTTTAAGCTTGCCAATAACAAGGAGTTTTTAATGGTGTACAGCGAGTGTGCTATTTTCGTCAACAAGTCTGGGAAACTTTCCCGAACATCGACAGTACGGTTCGATTTCAGACCCAAGAGCATCGCCTTCGTGGATAACAATCTATTTTTGGTGTGCGAAGAGGTCATTGAGGTGTGGTCGATCAGCAGCTCAGCCAACGGCACCAATAAATTAGTACAAGTGATACCAAGCAAGGATTTGCATTTGCTCGACCCGCGTACGCTTTGTTTCAGGCTGGCAAACCCAGACAATTCTGACCTACAGGTGGTGTTCCAGATGGCTGCGAAACCGGAGGAGGCTTTTCTTGCCCAAGAACAATGAAGAGTGTAATAGCTGGATTTTCAGGGGACTTGGGGCATGGCATGGGAATTGGCCACGAGTGCCCGCACATTGAAAAATAGGGATCCGAACAGCGGAAAGAATCGGCATATGGGCTGCTCTGCAATAATCTCGGGTTTGTTGGGGTCCTCGGCACCCGCGCTCAACCGATTGTTCCTCGGCCGAAATGTGGGGAAACATCAGTGCGAGCAACTGAGCGAGCGACTGCTCAGCGCGGGAATAAAGCTGGTGAATCGAACTCGCTCGTTAACTTCATTCTTTTTTCCCCCTCATATTCTTCTTTTCTTACACATCCGGCGATCTTTAAATTGCGGCAATGGTAGACTTCAACGTTAATGGCAAGACCGCAGTGGTGACGGGAGGCACCCGAGGATTGGGTCTTTATACGGCAGAGGCGTATGTTCTTGGAGGAGCTAAAACAGTGGTGATCACATCGAGAAACGTGAAAGCTTGCCAGGAGGCCAAGGCTTACTTGGAGAAAGTTGCGGGCGAGAATGGCAAGATGACCGAGATCATCTCCATCCCCGCCGATTTGGCCAAAGAAAAGGAATGCGAGCAGTTTTTCAAGAGTGTGATGGAGAAAGTAGCCACCATCAACATTCTCGTGGCCAATGCCGGAGCGTCGTGGGGAGCACCGTTGGAAAGCCACCCCGTGTCTGCAGTGAAGAAAATCTTGGATCTAAACGTGGTGGCTGTGTTCCATACGATCCAATTGTTTGCGCCGATCCTCGAGGAGGCAGGTACTGCCGAGGACCCGCTGAGAATCTTGATCATGTCGTCTGTGGCGTCGTTGGTGGCCAGCGATCCTGTGGGCGTGTACGGCTACTTGGCGTCGAAGTCAGGCGTGTCCCACATGGGCAAGAACTTGGCGTTGCAGTTGGGGCCCCGCAACATCACCGTGAACTCCTTGGCACCGGGCTTTTTCCCTACCAAGATGTCTCAGGGTGTCTTGGATATGGCCGGCGATATCATGGCCGAACTGAATCCGCGCAAGAGACTTGGTGTGAAGGAAGATATCATGAGCGCAGTGCTATTCTTGAGTGCTCGGCAGTCCAACTACATCAACGGGATTGTGCTTCCTATAGACGGAGGCTCGCACGTGGGAGGCGGGTTCACACCAAAGCTCTAAGTCAGCTGCGTGGCCCGAGAAACATGACTTGGTTACATGAGGTGTGGGAAAGACAACGGCAAGCCGCTTTTCCACGGTTGGGGCTGGGGAGATATTCATGTGTCTTTTCGCTGATACCATATGTAAGCCGGAAGCTGCTCGCCGGAAACGATCAGGTATGTATTACATTGTAATATTGACATGCGGTGGCAGCACCTTGCAACCCACGCAGACTGTAGCCCGGAACACCCACAAGTCACAGGTCCGCTTTCGCCCGAAAGAAAAAAAAATACCCCCTTGCCTTATGTATTTTTATTCACACCGCTGCTTGATTCCTGTTCCATTGCTTGAATTCTGCACCACCACTTGATGACCGCCTCATCAATTCTCTACAGCTACGATGATTCGAGCCCTGTACCTGCGTATGCTGTCACTCGCACCACCATATCTGAGTAGACTGAGCCCTCCTTCCATCAAGCAGAAGAAGGCATTTAATCCGCTGGAATTATATGAACTGTTTCAAAAAAAAAAGCTGATCTTATCTTTTACCCTCAAACAAGCATATTAATCTGCTACAGCCGCACTGATCTCAAGACCCCGTGCTCAACTCCCCGCATACCTCGAACCATGGGTCTCGCTTCATCCAAAATCCTAGACACTCTTATGGAGGGCACGAATTTCGACCGCGAGGAAATCGACCGGTTGCGCAAGCGGTTTATGAAGCTCGACCGGGACCGCAGTGGGTCCATCGACAAAAACGAGTTTTTAGACATCCCGGGTATTTCTTCCAACCCGTTGGCCACACGCCTTATGGACGTGTTTGACCTCGACCGTGATGGCACTATCGACTTCCAGGAGTTCATCACGGGGCTTTCTGCCTTTAGCGGCAAGTCCTCCAAAACGGAAAAGCTACAGTTTGCGTTCAAAATCTACGACATTGACCGTGATGGGTTCATCAGTAACGGCGAGCTATTTGTAGTCATGAAGACCATGGTGGGCAAGAACCTTCTGGATGCCGAGCTCCAGCAGGTCGTGGACAAGACCATAATGGGTGCTGATAAGGACGGGGACGGGAAGCTAAGTTTTGAGGAGTTCCGTCTTGCCGTGGACCTGACGCTGGTGGCTTCTGCGTTGACGTTGCTGTCGATCTGATCACAGTGGGCCCGAAAAAACAAAATGGTTGAGCCGGGAAGACTGGTACTGCAAGAAGGATTATTGAATGGTGACGGTGAGCGTCTGAAAGCAGTGAGAGCCCGAGTATCTGTGGCTGGAAACCGGTTATCCTCTGGTGCAGTTCACTGGATCGAGGCTTTTTACGATTGCAATCGCGTCAGTGTTCAGTTTATTGGTCTCCGATAGTAGTCCATGGAATTGGGCTCATCAGTCTACTGGTTTTGGTCTGTTCAGGCGACTGGATTCGGATAGTCCACTGGATTTCGCTTTTTTTTCTCTTCTGTATTGGAGTAAGCATATTCAGTCTTCTGGATCAAGACTATCCTGTCTTCCGGATGCGTCCTTCTGGATTTGGTCTTCCGAATTCGGTCTTCTGGCTTGTTTTGTATCGCAGTCAGTCGGTCGAGTCTATTTGAATTAATCGTTTGAGTCTAAGAGATACAGCTTATTGGACTCGACTTTTCGGAACCCGTCGTTTCAGTCTAATGGATTCAAGATATCGGAACCCGTCTCTTTGGTCTACCGAAGTACGTCTCATAGACTATTGAAGTTCGTCTCTTAAGTCTATTGGATTTCGTCTCTTTGGTCTATTGGATTGAATCCACTTCATCTACCGGACTAATTTCATCGGATGACTCCAACAGTCTGTTGGGTTATTCTTATTGAATTTAGAGTATGCAGTCTACTAGCTTTAGTTTTTCTTATGAAACAGGTGTATCCTGCTCTGTAAATTGGTTGATTTTGTTTACTTGGTCCTGTGAGAAAGCATACCTTCAAGACGGCTTATGAGATGCGCTACAGAACAACTCAGTTCTGTCTTATTCAAAAGACAAAATGGGTCTATAAACGCAAAAAAAGGGGGGGAAAAGACATAAGAAGAAGCAGTTCGGAAGGCTTTCCTCAAAATACAGCCCCATGTCTAGAAAATGATTACCGCCTGAGTGCCCCAGTATCCATGTCATCGGTAGTCTCCCCTGCTCAATTACCTCTGAAGTGTTCTATTATTCGGACAGGAAAATATGATTTAGTCGTTTTATCGTCTTCACGAACAGACTTGGAGATATTGGCACCCGCACTGTTAGGAACTTCACGGGACACTAGGGTTATGTATCTCTATTTGATCATTGGTTCATCCAGAACTCTACAGGAGTCCTGTGCCATCTTTGTGTACTTTATCTAGAGGTCACGTGAGCGGAGCCCCCTCCCCTAGAACTTGAGAGAATATTCTGTGAGTTGTTTGAAATGGAATCTAACGGAGCGTAATGATACCAGAGACCTTACAACATGAAAAAAACAAGATTTGTTTTGTATATCTAACCACTGCAAGAGTGGCTTGGCCGTAGAGTACGTGACCCAACCCCTAGTTGGCTCACCCATATCAACGTTCGTGGCCATTGTGCCTGTTCGTGCCATTGTGCCTGTTCTAATTGCCCCGTTCGTAGAATGACCATTACTATGATTCTCTGTACAGCTACACGCAATTTTCGTGGTATTTACAGTATGCAATATGTACGATCTAGCTTAGTATGGCTATTTCAAGCTGTCGTGAATATGAAAATTGATTTTCATGCTTCGAGTAATCATTGTCGCTTTGTAACGCTACTTTTAGACTCTTTCTCTTCGGAACCAAAAGCAACAACCTCATTGTTTCTTTTGGGCCAGAATACTAGAGGTCCAAACAAGGTGAGCTCAACTGAATAAAGCTTTTTTCTTGTTCGTTTTTTTCAGGCAGGAATATTCAAGAAAAATAAGAGAAAGAAGGGGTGAGAGTCATGGTCATGGTTCTGACGACTTGGAGTTGTGTATATGAGCCCCTTGTTGTATTTCTTTAGACAGCTTTGTATATCAGACTAGCATGGACGTTTTTAATTAATACTCAGAAGGATGCTTTACACGACATAGAATTCAGGTCTAATCCTGTCTTTTCTCTAGCGGACCTCACTACCACTTATGTCCTTACTCTCACACTTTTTGTGTATGAGAATTTAAGTCCTTATAATCAAAGAAGAGCTTTCTACGGTATTTTTTCTGATATGCATACTGTTCAATGGCCCCTTAGTGCAGAGTAGACTTCACCACAAGCCCAGTTTTTTCTTGGCTGACATTTTATTCTCCCAAAGAAAATTGAGAGATACTTTGAACTCTTAAGCCTCAGTGTATATTTTGAAACTTGCCGGCAAATTTTCTTTATTGAGCTTGGCAACTTATGGTTATCGTTCTCACAAGTAGACCAAACTTTGGTGGCACCAAAAATTGAGTCAAGCGTTTAATAAGTGTGGTTTGAGCCTTGTGCTAGTTTATTGTGAAATCAACACCCCCTTAAATTTCAAGACTCACCTTATTGATGAAGGATTATGGCCACACTATCATAACCACTAAAATACAAGAGCTCACTTTCGAATTATGAGTTTTTCGAGCTATATAAGAGTGAGTGTTTTCCGGTTCGTATTGCCTGCTACATTAAAAATATTACGCATCAAAATGAAGCTCTTCAACGCATTATCACTTTTCACCGTCGCCCTTGCCGACTTCGACGGAAAAATGATGTTCTGGGGAAACGGCGGATTATGTTTAGTCCTGGCTGATGCAGAGAATATGCTTTATTGTAAACAAGGATTGATCAGTGATTATGTCGTCTCAGATTCACGCTTAACCGCGGGAAATTTATACTTGAGTCAAGAACTGGGTAGACTCAGTTTGAATGAGACTATGGATACTGATTTTGCAGTGAATAGAGATGGGTTTGTCTTCTTCGGGCATTCGAATAAATTTATGCTTTGCAATGATCGTCTGATTGTTCTCAAAGGTGGCTGTATTGGACTGGAAGGTACACTTAGAATTTTGATAGAAGGATAAAGAAGTTTTGAAACGATTGATTTTATATTGGCTGAGAAAATTGTTTTCTCATCCATTTACCTGTTCTATGTTGCAATACCGAGTCTTGCATGATATTCACAGAATCGAAACTACAAAATACTGTCAATAGCAACTCTTAAGTATTAATTTACGTGCGTACTGAATTAGCCCTCATCTCATCTAAAGAGACATTCTTGGTAATGACGTTGAGTCTCACAGTGGATATATACACGTAAGACCGAAAAGCCTGTTTTCATCTTCCCCAAATTTTCGGAATGAACTTGCAACAAACCGTTTTTGCAAGTATAAAATTGGTAAATGGCCTCTTTTGTAGCTTTATCCTTTTAGCCTTGAAAATTGTTTTTCGTTTGTGGCTTCGCTTTTCGCTACTAAATAATAAATTTTAATTTTCGAATCATCCTTCAACAGTCAACCCTATAAAATGAGTCATATCTTCCTTAGGAATACTCATACTCTTTCAGCGATACTAATGCTAAAATTTCCCAAAGCAAGAGTTTCTGCAGCTCAAGTCATTCAAGAGGCTCTACAAAGAGAGGGATGGTCTGATATTTGAGACTCGAGCAAAGTCATTGAGAATCTGGCCATCCGTGCAGGGTTACAAATTGACCGGAACCGAGCTTAAGTAGCAAACATTTTTAAGATGTTTCTGATCCCGAAGCCACTCAGGTTCCCGACAAAAGAGCGACCATCACCTCAGACGTTTTATTTATGTAGTTCCCCGGGTTGGTCATCTTCCTCCGAAATAGAAGAACAATGAGATCACTCCCACCAAAGCTCTTTCTGTCAGCCAAATCTCTTTCTGTCGGAGAGACTCCCAGCCATCGCTCCAACTGTATGTGCTATCCCAAGAGATCATGTTTTGGTAAGAAAGGCCCCGTTTCTTCAAACCGCTCATTTTATCTCTCTCAATTTGCACCCAGACTCTCGCCCAGTGGGGCCTTATCAGCCGCGCGAATCCAGGTCTCATCTACACCGGGCCGCACATAGACAACTACTATCGCATGCCAAGAGACCTCCAACACACTGCATTCTCAGCTCATGCACAGATTGCTGGCGCTGGCAGAAGCCTGGACACGTGCTCATTCCAAAACTACGGAAACCGCCTCGATTGGACCCAGAGTGCACTCGCTGGCGCCGCCATGAGCACGCATTCCATGCCCTTCGAGTCGATCAATCTCGAGTCGTTGGCCCCCCCTTTGGCGCCGCCAGCCACGGCCACAGACACGTCCGACGACGGGCTCGACCCTGCGGATTTCATCTCGCAATCGCAAGAAAATTCCGCCCGGGTTCAGGCATCTGCCGGCCGCTTTGAATCAAGCGCCCCACGCCCCGAAGAAGGCGCCCTGTTCCTGCTGCAAACACCCCACGACAACGTGCTGAGGGGCTCCACGCCGTCGCTTTCCAGCTCGCTCAACCTCTCGCTTTCACGCGAGTCGCTTTTCTTCGCGTTTGGCAACCTCCGCGAGCAGAATGCGCCGCCTGTTTTTGGGGCCCAGAACCAGCCGGGCTCGCCCTTGGAACACCTTCTAGAGTGCCGGGACGCGCTTGAACGAGACATGCAGACTGCGCTCCGCCGCCACGGCGACTTGTTGGCCGGCGGCGACGACTGCTCTCCGGCCAGGGCGGCCATCCACAAGCTTTTCGCAATGCTTTCTGAAAACGCCTTGCTGCTCCAGGAAGTCTACGACCGAGAGGCCAGGCACGTCAGCCAGGCGTTGGCCAGCTTCCAGGCATGGGACAAGAAACGCTCCAAGGTGCTTGCGCGGGTCCAGCGTATCCGCTCGCAAAACAACCAGTATGGCGCCAAGTTGGCCGGGCTTCTTGCGCGCCGCTCCGACATCGACGCCGAGATCGCGGCCTTGGAGTCTCGCCTCGGCTCGCTCAGGGCCAGCCGGCTGGCCGTGGAAAGCGAGGTGGGCGAGACCATGTCTGTTCTCGAGAGCAAATCGGCCAAGTACGTGGAGATGTTCCGCTGTCTAGAGAAGGCAGGCACGGACGCCGTGCTCGACTACTTGGGTGCCGACGCGCCGGACCAGCCGGGCGCAGTGCCGCTTTTGCGCTACGAAAGCGTGGACGCCATGTTCGCCGAACCTCGAAACACCGCGCCGGGGCCAGACGCTAACGCGCACCTTGAAGACACTGCGTCAACTGTACATCGGGTGCCCTCTCCGGGGCGGATGGGGGCACAGGCTTTCGAGGTTCCGGATACCGGGGCCTGCGACGATGGCCCGGAGCGTCCTGCTGCTTCAGGAAAGGAACCGCACTCGGCCTACGAGCGGGGCTTCGCCAAAGGCTCCGAGCAATTGCACACGGTGAAGCGAAGACTCTCTTTATTGTTGCAGAACGTGATTCCTGCTCCAGAGGGCCTGCCAAGATACTCTGCCACGCAGCGGCCGCTAGGCGATATGCTGAACACGATCACCAGAAAGTTGGACTTGCTGCCGATCGTGGACTTGTTGACCTCCAAGTCCGAAGCTGTGAAAGACTTGGTATCACAGGCTTCAAGAGCCTCCGAGTGCTTCCACAGGCACGGCCTTGTATGGGCTGAGGTGTGCAAGTACCTCGATGTGCAAGAGGAGACTCTACTGCTGCTAATCGCGAGGTCGCTGGACGCCCGGGAGGCTGAACAGCTCCTTGACCAACTGTACGTCTACTTGACAAAGAAGCTCAAGGAGATCAACACCAGCCCTGTGCGACCGCATGACGAGAAAGACTACTTGAAAATCGTGACAGGCCAAGAACTTATGACTGTGGCCGCTGCTCTTGATCAGATAACGGGAAAGAATAGTTACGTTTCTTCAGTTCGCTCATCCAGTGGCCCGCTTGCAAATCCTCCCCGGAATGCAGGCAGCCCGAAGGACACACGTCTTTGCATAACTTCCATTTCCTCGCAGCCAGTACTGTTCGACTCCAGCGTGCACGCCCAAATACATAGTTTGAATCACCCGGCAAAGAGTTCGGACAAGGATATAAAGAATGAATAGCCAAACCCCAGTGTCGACTCCGAGATATCTAGTTCACGGCTTCCGAGGCCCAGGAGGTCTTGTTGGCTTCCTACTGCTGATAAAGATGCTGGAGTTGGCCGGTTTCTTATGCCTTGGGCGATCATTCGATCGATAGACCCCGCTGTTGCTTTTTACCCTCTCGTCTGGTCGGTAGACCCCGCTATTATGAGCCCGAGGCATACCTCCAGAGGGCATTTGTCCAGCTTTTTGCTCGCCCGCTTCGCTCGGAAGCGCGCGAGGTCCACTAGGAATATTGGAGATGATCTTTGTGCCAGATTTGGCGTTTTGGCTGTTTGCGTTCAGATGCTCTTGCATGTTGCTCTCACTTCGTGGTGTATGAATGTAAACATGTGGATTCTTCTTTGACTTGCGTGTTTCGCTCCGTTGGTCCTGGCTGTCCTCAAGTTTTCTTTTGTGCACTTTGCTAGGGACGCTGTTGGTAGATTGCTGGAGAAAAGAGGAAAATGTTGGCTTTCCAGTCAAATTGCCATTCGGGCGATATGCGTCCTTTACCGGCTGTTCAGCTGTGCTTGCGGGACGATACGAATCTCTCCCTACAGCATCGCTAGCTGTGTCATTTTCAGGACGGCTAGACGAAGGTAAGCAGGAGTCTCCTCCGCCGTTCTTATCTCTTGACTTGTGGGAGTTGATTTTGGACCTGTCATTTACTGGACGGTAAGAATCCTTCCCGGTGTAATCGTGGCTCGCAAATGGCGAGTCTCCTTCGATGGCTTTTGTTTCTGGAATATCTTTAGCCACCCTTGGATGTCTGGATAACTCAGTAACCCCACTAGCTACTACACCGCTCATCTTCAAGTTTTTCAAAAAACCTGGCTGAGCAGAAGAGACGCATGATCTAGACTCTGCATCAGTGACAAGCTTGTTCCAGACTCTGTCTCTGCGCAAGGATGTCTTGTTTCCCAAAATCCAAAGAGTTGTTCTAGCACGAGTCAATGCCACGTTCATACGCCTAACATCACTCAAAAACCCAACACTTCCATTTTCACTGGCTCTCACACAAGACATGATGATAATCTCTTTTTCTTGACCTTGAAAACCATCCACAGTATTAAAGTCAATCTCACTGAAGATCATGTTCCCGAATTTCCTTTGAAATGTGTCTCTTAGGGTTCTGATTTGTTCCTTGTAGGGTGAGATGATACCGATTCTTCCCTTGAACTTGTTCTCAGGTAAAATTTTCATTAAAGTCTCAACAAGCTCTAAAGCAACGCGTGCTTCAGCAGTATTGAAAAAAGATTTAGTCTGCTGATTTTGCTGTTGACGACTGACAATGTCAAAAAACCTGTAAGGCGTAAGTGGGAAATTGCTGTGCCAAAGCCGTTGGTTTTTCTCTTGCATTCCATCACCATCAGATAATCTGGAGTTATAAAATTGGGCACTGGGGAAGACAGAAATTTCAGGATGCATACGGTATTGAACATCCAAGAGGTATATAGAGCCTGAGTTGTTCCGTTGCATTCTGACGAACAAACTCTCCTCATACTTGAAGGAGGCTGCCTTCTGGGAAAGCACTGTTGGTGGTAATTGATTAGGATCTCCGACCATGACACACTTTTTGCAACCATACCTCAAAGGAATGATCGCGGACAACTCCACACACTGACAAGCCTCGTCAATAATGACTTGATCGAATTTCATAGACATACTTGCCAAAAAGTCATGAGCAGACCCTGACAACGTTGAGCAAATCACCTGGGCCTCACTCAAAATTTTAGCTTGGGCTTGCCTTTTTTCAATTTCTCGAGTACGATAAGCAACTGCCGCATTTTCTTTCTGTTCTTCAAGGCGGCGACTGAGCTCACTTCTCTTTTTGTTAATGTCTTGCAACTGAGCCTGCAATTCCACAATTTCTGGGTCCCTTAGATCTTCCCTTTTTAGAGCTTCTTTAAGACGGTCTTTTTCGGAGATGCATTTGTTGATTTCCAAGCGAATGCTGGGATCAACAGCAGCATAACGGGCCTTCAATTGCCCTTCGATGAGCTCTTCTAGACACAAATGACGAACAGAAGCATTCATTGCGTCTGGCCGTCCTAGACGTACTATTTTAGGAGTAGTCAAGTGTCCACTGTCATTGACAACACCATCCTTCAAGCGCACTACTAGTTCATCCACTGCAGCATTACTTGGTGCACAGATCAAAACTTTTTTGACTGGCTTAGTCTCTTCTGATGATGCGGAAGTGGCCAGAACAGGCGTGATAATAGTATGTGGGTTTGCAGACACTGAAGAAAGAAAATGTCCCACAATTCCCAAAATGGTTTTGGTTTTTCCTGTTCCAGGTGGTCCTTGAATCAATGAAAAACCTTCATCTCGGTTTGCTCCAATGATCGCTTTTGCTTGAGACATGTTTACGCCAAGCTTACCACACATACTGCTAGCTTCAGCATCCGAGATTGGTTTCGCCTCACATGGTTTCCCTGCTAAAATTTCATCGCACAAGTCGTAATATGGAAGACCTCTCAAAGAAGAGAATTCTCTCTCGACAGTTATCATTTGCATGACTTTCATACCCACAATGACAGCTTGTGGACTCAACAAACCAACCATGGAACCTTGAGGATATACCCTTACTGTTATGTCGCTATAGTTTTGATTAGCAGACTTGATTTCTCTCACTTTAGCCAAACAAGTTTGAGAATCTTGCAGTTTTAGATACTTCGAAATTTCATGCGGCGACGAGATATCCTTGTCTGCCACATAGCCAAGGACTAGGAGATCCGTTTCACCAATTTTTCTGGCGGCCAATTCTGTTTTTTTCATAGAGCCATGGACATCGAAGAAACCGTCACATGTAACTCTACTTCCAAGCAAGAGCTCAAAAGGAAGCTCCTGGCCAGTGACCCGTGACGATTGAATACCCTGCCAACATTCCAACATGAGCAAAGGCTCAATCTCTGAAACATACTCTTTCGCAGAGCTGTAAGAGTCTTTGATTGGTTTGTAAATGTCTCGATCTTCTGTGGGGAACTCACTATTTGTATTGTAGTTCCATCTTAAAACAGTTGAGTAAAGGGGCTTCAAGTTCACGTTCAAACGCTGGCGCATCCGTTCTTCTTCCTGCCGTTTGGTGTCAACCTTTTTTGCCAATGGCATTTTTTGAACCCGTCTTCCGTTTATATCAACTTCAATGATCTTGGGTTTCTTCTTGCTGTCGAGGAAAAGATCAGATGTGTCCACATCATTTTCAGCATCCTCATCTGAAGAGTCTGAATCATGCTTCCTGTTTTTTAATGCATTCAAAGAGCGCCCGACAGCCGTAGACTTATGGTTGAAGCCGGCTGGCCGTGGTGGCGCAGGGTTAATGACGGGCTTAGGTGGAGCTCTATTGTTCTTGAGCTCACTTCTAATGGCTTCAAGGTTGTTCAGCTTGAAGGGTTTCGGAGGTGGTGGAGCAACAGGAGCCTGAGTAGTGACGACTCCGAACCTGGCGAGAGTAGACTGCTTCGATCCTTTGTTATGTGTCTGATAGATGTAGGAAGGCGCCTTTGGTTGCTCGCTTCTGGCATCTCTATTGACTGGAGGAGTCATACTCAGGCGTTCTTTTGCGCTCTCGTCAATCACATACTGAACTAGCTTAGCATCAAATTCGCTTGCTTTCGCTAGAATTAAGCTTCGCTGTTGCTCAGTTAATTTGTTGTTAAATTTCTTCGCCTTTGCGCCATATTTAGCAAACATGACAATGAAATCCTTATCGACACGAGCGTCAAGTTCTTTGGCAAGATCAAATCCCTTGAAGACCAAATTTACGCAAGAGTATAAAAGGGATGTATCACCCAACCTCAACCACACGATGAGGTGTATGAATGTGGCCATAAAAGTGTCAAAGAGGGAGCTTTTGAAGCTCGAGTTTGCAAAGTAATCCATCAAGACTCTGAAGGAATCCAATAGTAAATGACTCGTGTCAAGTGTATCGCGCGTGAATTCAATCAAGTCAGATAAATGGTAAAGGCCAGCCCAAACAAGGGTCCTTTTGTATATCATCACCAAGAACCGCCAGCTAGACTCCCAGAAATCACGAATGACCAGTATTGAGTCGACGTGATGATTTGATTGCGTGTTGAGTATACCATTCAAAGGACCAGTGAGCGCATTGATGATATCCATCAAGATTCGAAGTGCTTTAGGGCACGGTTCATATGCAGACATTGTTGCTATTTTGCACAATGACTTGTTGATGGCCATTATGTTCACACGAAGGGAGCTGTTGAGTAAGGCAAAAATACCTTCATAACGGTCTTCTGAGTCGAAGACCTGAGATACGAGCGTAAGGGCTGCCTGACTCATCAGCGTGTTGAAGATGCAGCTCCATATTCCCTCCAGACACGATTCGGTGGCAAGAACAGCCTTGAGATCGTCCACGTCCATGAGACCGATCTTTTCGAGAATAATAGACACGTTTTTGCACAACGCTTCTGTGTCTCTATTATGTATTTTCAAAGAGGCGTCAAGCTCCCGTGTGAGCTGAGCGTCCTTCGTGTCCTTGAAAATGATCACAGACAGAGCGTCGGTGAAGGAGCTGAGGATGCCTGACGCAAATGCGGCCAGAGTAAATGGAGCTCTGGCCAAAGCTGCCCATAATGCATTGTTCGCCTCGAATAACGTGGGGCTTTTTTTCTGCTGGAGAACAGACGAGTTGTGCGAAGCCACAATGATGTCGTACTTGAGGCAAACACACACAAGGGCATTTGCGTGTTTGGAGCCATTTCGGGCAAGGTTGACGAAGTACTCTGCGTATCGGTTGACGGTCATGCGCGCATCCAGCATCTTAAGCAACGAGACCGAGAGAGCAGCTGAGTCTAGCGAGTCGTCTAGTGTCTCGAAACACGCATGCAAGAGTTCAGCTGAGTCGACGCGGGCGCTGCCAGGCTCAGACTTTTCTCGGTGCACCAAGAAATCCGTGAATTTGATTGCGGCGGTTTGTTTTTGCGGTCCTGAAAGACTGCTGACAAGGCACGGGATCCACTCCAAAAGCGGCTTCAGCATTTGCTCCGGGTTGCCACTGACTGATGCGAGGTGCAAGTGCTTATGGTAGAGCGGGCTACGCAACACGGCATCCAACACGTTGGTGAAGTGGAACTCGGGAGCCATGGCCCAGAGCCTGCTGCCGAAACGCCGGAGAAGACGGCCAAATACGTCGAGGAGAACAGGGAACGGCTTGTCCAAGCACGCCAACAAGTTGTTGAAGAAGACGCGGACCAACGGCGAGAGCCGGATCTGTGTGTACGCGCTCCAGGCCTCGAGCTCGGACGTCTCGAGCAATTTTGAGAACTCCTCCCCCGGGCAGAGGTCGAGCACAACGGACATCATCTGCCAGAACCGGAGGCTGAAATCCTGCGAGAAGTACCGCAGGTTCTGAAGCCGGTAGCACTGGTGGAGGATCTCGTCCACGACCTGCGGATCGAGAGTCACTGCCGATCCATGGAGCGTCTTGAGATGCAGCTGGGCAAACGCCGACTCTGCGCTGTTTCCCTCCACATAGTAGAACACGGACAGCGGCAAAAGATGGTCTGGCTGCAAAAACTCCGCAGCGCCCGAGGACAGGATGAGCGTGGCCACCGCGCTTCTGAACGTCGGCTTTGTGCGGAGCAAGGACACGTTGGAGAGATACTCATAGAGCGTCAGCCGCACGGAATCAAGCAGTGCCGAGGCCGTCGCCTGGCTGCTCTGGTGCACGCGCGGCTCCAAGCGGCGGAACACCCAGTCGTCCACAATGGCCAAGAATTTGAGCACTTGCTCCACGGAAATGCGGCGCACCAAGACAAAACGAGATCTGAGCTGCGAGAGGCTGGTGTAGAAAGCCCGCACACAAGTGCAGCAGCACAGCAAGCTGCGGGCCATGCGGTCCTCGACCACCTGGAGCATCGGGCTGGTGGTGCCCGGAAACGAAAACATGATCAAGGTATGGCCGGAGATCACGTTGAGTGTCTCGCGGCAAAAAAGATGCGTTTCGTCTTTGGCCGCGTCCAGCGAAAGCACGCGGATGCACTGTTTGAAGATCTGCTCTTGCACCGGGGAGTTGCCCGGCTCCTTGTAGCTGGCGACAATGTCGCTTGCTAGGGTGTGCCAATCCTGAGGCACGGGCATTGTTTCTTCTGGGTTGGCCTTTCTGATCTGGCCGATGTTCTTTACGCAGTGGGTGCAAAGTGGGAGAAGAAGCGACCGAGGAAGGGACGGCAGCAGCCGGGACTCAAAGAAGGATTTACTAGAGGTGATATATATAGGCGTGGGCACAGGGGCTTGGCACAAGTTGCAGTGTTCAGAAGAACCGGTGGTTGTGATCTGGGATTTCAAACGATCGCGGCTCTGAAGAAAAGTCTGTGCACCGGCCTGCGCGCGTCTGGGAGGAAGCCAGGCCCAAGCAGCCGCATGCCGGAATTGGTGTATCAGCAGGCTTCGGCCGGATCAGGGTCCAGATGGCTAATCGATTTTCGGGAATTCATGCTCTCTGATGACACGCGTATTTTCTGGAGTCATGGTGGTGACCTCTGTCCGCAGGTACTCGTAGTCCCTGCGATGTTTGCAGCCACTTGCTCCCTAGGTTGGAGCCAAGATCCGGGGCCCTCGCACGACCCACCGCGTCGCAGCCTAATAAGACGAGTAATATATTGGCCTTGATGAAGCTGTTGTCGAGATGTAGGACACGACGGCGAATGGATACGCGGCAGATACAGCAAGCATGGAGGGTGTGTGAGAAAAGCCGGTGGCCCATTCACCTGTCGTGGTTCTGCAATTGTATGCATGCTGCTCGACATCTGTGCTCTTAGAATAAGCCATCTGATACGGTCTAGTCGTCGAATGCTTTGCAAGCCTCGTAGTTTTTGCCAGTTCGCTTTGCTTAGCAGCGCCGGTTTTAGAGCGGCTGCAATGTCACAAGAGCACCAAGTCTATGGCAAGCATGTTCGCCGCCGTGTACCAATCCTCGCCTGTGTCCCAGCACCGGTCCATGATAACCAAGCTCTTGATGGCGTTCATGTTCTCCTGGCGCACCAAGGCCTCGAAGCGGCCCCGGTAGAATGCCCGCTTTTCTTCATTCAAGTTATCGCACCCGGCGCAAAACAAACAGAAGATGGTGCAAATCTCCGCCGGGCTGCAGGGCTCGATGTAGAGCTCGAAAATGTCAGTGATCTCGGCAATGAGATCCTGAACCAAGCACGACAGGCGTGGCAAGAGGAGGACGCGGCGGTAGAGGTTTAGGAGACCCGCGTTGTAGTAGAGCCGGTTCGTGCTGCGCAAGATGTTGTCCTTGGTCATCAAGTCCCTGCTTCGGGCGGCGGCAAACCGGCCATTCTGCTCGATCATCTCGTCCAACACTATCAGCCGCTTCGCCTCCCCTGCCTCGTAGCTTTTCAAGAACTTTTCTTTGAGCTCGAGTGCCGCGACAGTGATGGGAATCGGGAGGCAGGTCACGTCACTGCCGGGCGTGGCCATGTACTTCTCCACTTCGTCTATGAGCAAGGAGATGTTGACGAAGTGGGGAAGCAACTTGGGATCGAAGCCAAGCAAGAAGTCGATGTCCCGCCCCCAGTCATCCGTGTTGAGGTGTGGAATGCTTTCGATCGGCGTGTACACGCTGTGTGTGCGGTAGGCCCTCAAGTACTTCATCCTATCCTGCGTGGAGGACAAGGCGCCAAGGACGTCCACGTACATGAACCAGCGCAGCAAGAAGTAGGCAATGTCACTCTCGTCTCGCCTTGTCGTGGACGACTCGGACGAGGGAGAGTCCGTGTCGTCGGCGGAGCCGCGCGACTCGCGCCGGAACTTCCGTGCCCGTGCCGCCATGATCTGGCTGGCGCCGGTGGTGTGTGCCCGGTGCTTGCTGAAGTCGTTTGAGTGAACCACCTCGAAAGACGAGAGGAGCAAGCTGGTGGCAAAAGTGCCGTCCGAGGTCGCCTCGCTATGGTCCCGGAGCTGGCGGAGGAGCTCATCACAGGACCTGCCGAGAAGCTGGTCGATGATCTTCAGGTGAGTGCCGGGCGAGCCCTCCAAGTCGTCGCGGGCCCGGGCGGCGAACGCCAAGATCGTGGTGAGCAAGCCCGGGTAGTGCATGGCCATTTGCGGCAAGATGATCTTGAACGGGTTGTCCTTGTACAAGTACGGGGCAGGCACGAGGTTCTCCGCGGCCACGTTGACCCAGAAGTGGAGGAGCTGCCTGTAGTAGGGCACCTTGAGCAAGATTTCCGGAAGCGGCACAAGCAGCGGCGGGATCGAGTGCACGGGGGCTTGCTGCGACAAGCTGCTTTGCTTTTGTGGAGCGATCTGCTGTGGCGAATCCTGGGGCCCCGAGGCGGACGCCGTCTCCAGCTCCTCGGTGTCGGGCGAGTCTGTACGGGAGGACGCCAGGCCATACGCATTGTCGAAGAACGGCAGCCGCTGCTCCGTGGGAAACGTCCGTTCTATACGCGCGAGGTCCGCCGAAAAGCTGTCGCAGCGATCCATGTTCTGCTCCGTATATGAGAGGTGTGGTTGCGGGGATCCAATCGCATGCTGCAGGTGCACGGTGGCCCGGGGGTCCAGCGGCGCCCTGGCGGCGCAACTGTCCAGGAGATCGCTGAAAGCGGTCGAGAAGAACATAGCCGGGATCCCGGGCGACCTGTCGGGTGACGTACAGCCAGACACCGCAAAAGACGCGGGCGTCTTGCCAGCATCCTTGGCACCGGCCCCACAGGGAAGAATGGGCCGAGACCCTTCCAGCGTTTTCCACCCCGAGCGCACCGTGGCGCCCGCGCCACTAGGCAGAAACGGCGGGCCGCCACGGCCCTTCAGATCGCGCAGGCCCAGGTGCACATCGTCGGCCGACCCGGCGCGTTTTCTGCCGCGATTAGTCGGTCTGGCGCTAGTCGCCGAGTCCACGCTGAGTGCAAGCGCCATGGGCGTTTCCATGCTCGCGCCGGGACTGAAGACACTGGGCACAAACTCAATGGTGCTGGACATGGAGGTCGCCATGGAGCTCGCCATGGAGGTCGCCATGGACAGCGGGTCGCGCGCCATGAGATGCGCCAGATACTTGTGTTCGGCGCCATGCACAGGTGCGGGTTTGTGTTTGTGTGTGTTCTTGAACGGCCGCCCGCCCCACGTGAGTTTGATTGAGTAGTCACAGCTGGCACCGGCCTTGAGGCACGTGGCGCACGTGGGCTTCTGTTCGGGGCATTTCACTTTGAGCTTTTTGCACCGGTGGCATCCCAGGCGCACACGTGTGATTTTCTTTTTCTCCAGGGGCACCATGGAGTTTCGGGGTGGGGGGAAAATCTGTTGGTGTCAGGCACATTCGAATGAGGCCGGATGGTAGACGGGCGGAGAGGACCCAGCGCGCGTCTTTCGGATGTTCTTTCTCGGGGCGATCAACTGATATAGTGATTCCGAGAGGAGGGTCCGAGAAAAGACTAGAGGGAAATGCTGGCGGCGGCGATTTGTGGTGGGCGTTGCGTCTCGATTCCTATTCGAGGTGCCATTGGTTTTTTTCACTGTGGCTCGAGGCGCACGTAGATAAGGCCCGCTCCCCGCGAAACGTTGGCGGAACGCTTATCTGCGGAAACCAGGCACACGCCGGAAATCACGTGACACGAAAACAGATTTGGTCTCCGAGATCTACCAAAACAAGGAACGCCACGAGGACGTATTTGAGAGTTTCCTCTCTCCTCTCTTAAGAGACCAGTCACTGGGCTGGTTTGCTTATGTTAATAGCGCGGTATGTCTGCAAATGAGTATACCGACTACTCAACCGCCCAAGTTGCGAAACGCTTATGACAGGAATGTTGATTTGGAATACTTCTTGCTTGAGCAAAACTTCGAATAGGTTGTGAGCCCCGAGTTGACCGCTGGGCACGAGCATGCTCGGCTTTTGGAATTCCTTGGATGAGAGTCTTACTAGTGTGTGGAGAATATTCTTCGAAAGGAAGATATTTGAGTTCGACAAAAGTGTGTTCATTTTGTACAAGGAGGTGCTGAGGGTTTACGGACAAAGTTTGCGATCAGCGGAAGAGGACTTGGCCATCTCCAAAAGATGCTGACCTAATCGAACTTCTTAGACTTGATGATCAAATTCAAGGTGTCAGAAGAGGTCAGAGTAATTTGAGGATCACTTTCATCCGTAAAGCCCATATCGAACAATTTGCTGAAGGACACGAGCCAGGTCCAGAAACGTTTACTGACGCTCATGTGAAAATTGCTGAATATTTGGTGAAGGACAGAAGAAGTTTCCATGGGATGAATGAGAAAAGCGCCAGGCTAACCAGAACGAAGCATTCAGTGTTGGTGGAATTTTTTTTTCTTTATTGGAGCTGTTCAAAGCAACAAAAATCAGGCAGTATTCGAAAATACTGAAGAAGTGGGGAAACCCCTGTGACTCTGAACGCATACGAAGACGAAGTTGAGTTAACTATGTTGATTGGAGTTGATCTCGAGAAAGAAAGACGTTCCAAAGCTGAATATCAGCTGGCTTGTATGAGTGGTATTTTCTGTCATCATTGCCACAAGGTGGGTCACATGAAAGTACGCTGTGTTCAATTAAGAAACAAGAACCCTGTATCCGAAAAGACAACTGAGCCTTTTTTCACACATTCAATGTTCATCTATGGAAGTAACACACATGTAGTAAATGACATGTCGTTCTTTCAGACACCTAAAGAAGAACTCATTTTCTTTGAAACGGTGATTACAAACTTGAGCACAAGTTTCAACATTATCTGCATGTCTAATCGAGGCTCTGGCACCTGCAATTCCCGGTGGGAATGAGAATCGCTCTTGAAAGCGCATATAATCGCACACGGCCAGGGAACCTCCCTGAGTTCCATTCTACAACCGGAGAACACGCGGTAGTACACCGTCACAAAATAATCAGACGCGGCGAAGGTACTTCGAGGCTTTCCTCTATCCATGATAACTAAATGTTCGAGGACGAACATTCTAATTTTGGGGAGATAATGTTATGATACGACATGAACAAGATTATAGATTCTCGTCATCCTGTATAATACGAAGGACGAAGAGTCTAAACATTCCTGATCGGGGTTACCCCTCACCTACTGTATAGAATGGTTCCGAACTATAAAGGGGCGTGAGGCTGAGACATCCCTGAAGAAGGACAACACTTTTTAGACATCGAGAATACGACAGATAGACTAGGCCTATCCACTAAGGCTGAACTATCTATAAACCGATCTACTCGTAGTTTAAGAGACAGCTCAAGGCTGTTTCATAATAGTTGGTAGCGCCCAGCAAAAAATGGGTATCTATTGGGATTTAATGTTACATATAACAGGTACTTTATTTTTGCTAGGGGTCATCGACAGACCAGATGGTATTGAGGCCTGAGGTGGGGCAGACAGAGCTGGCCATGCAGCTTAGCTCGTAAGCCTTAGGGCGCATCTTCTGTTTCGCGCCTGGCCATACTTGAGTTATGCGGCAAAGGCTCTATACTCGCGGAAGGCGCAAGCTTCATCGGCTCTGTGATCAATTCACAAGCATGTTGGACGCATGGACTATGTGCGCCCGTCTTTTCTGCAATCTCTGGCCCCACGTTGCGCACACATAGCGGCCATTCAAAATGCACATCGTCATTTAGAATGCATTATCCTTATTTTCGCGATGTTCCACCGATTTTGCCACTGGGCAGAGCATCCCTCAGCAGGCGACAGAAAAACGAGGCTTCTGTTCACCTTGGTTTGAATATAGCGCGCACAAGACCATTCACGTCCTTATCGCCCATAAGGCACCACTGGGAAAGACAATTCTCTAGCTGGTCTAAAATAATATTAGTAGCTCTTCGGGGCTGGCTTGGGGCGATCAAGAAGCCCGCCTTCCTTCTTCTCGGTGCTCCTTTCAGTGTAACGCTTTCCAAAAAGAACTCTCAAAATCTTTTCGTAGAGCTTAAACAAATACCCTGCTGCCACGAGAAGCCCCGAGAGAATCGTCGCAAGTCTCGCCACAAACGCTATAAACAGAATACGCTTTTCGCGGATAGTGAGCTTGATGGGCTCGAAAGAGTAGGCGAAGTAAATGCCAGCAGGCTGCATATCTCTGGGGTGCAGCACGTGGTGGATCTCTGTAAGCGCATACTGGTATGTGTCCACCAAGATCCCGAGCTTTTCGTAAAGCGTAGGCACCACTTTTGTGAAGTATTTGTACTGCTGGAGTTTGTTGTCCGACACTTTGGCAGTGAAGTCAAGAGGGTTGTTGATGACCGGGTAGAAATCTCCATACGAATACTCATACACCACGTGGGAGAAGTTGTACAGCTCAGGTTGCACCACCAGGCGGTCTCTGAATGCCAGGCCTTTCGCGATGATGAAGAACTCGCCCTTGACGTAATTCACGGGGATTGTGCCGAAAATATGGCACGCAGGTGCGTTCTCGTTGGCGCGAGCCCCAGAAATACTGTACTCTGCCCGAAGTGTTTCTTGCATGATTTCGTCCAACTCGGGCGTCTCGTGTTCATTGTTTTCACTGTTGACTTTAAAAGGCTCCGGAACATGAAACCCAACGCCCTGGAAATTGAGCACTTCGCCCGCCATATACGTGTCACTAGTGATGTCCATGACATTGGTCGCGAGGAACTGGCAAGGCATTGCCACCACCAAATCAACGTTGATATCAAGTGACAGCCGAATCTCATTATCCACGGCAAACCGGCGATCAACGTACCCACCAAGAAACCCGCCGATTTGGACCCACATGATCATAAGCATGCACAACACGGTGAGTACTGTTGAGAGCCCGCCGCGCTGAGAACGCACTGAAGCTTCAGGCGCCACTTTCGAGAAAGCGTCAAAAACCTTGACCTTCCTAGAAATAGACTCCATTTTTTTCTATCTCAAGCAGCGGATCTTCGGTGTTTGGCCCAGGAATATGTTATCCAGGTCTGCACAAACCACGTTGCACGTTCGTGGCCGGCAGCGTGTGTGCAGGTCTCGCGAGATCGGTATGTTCGCTTCACCACGACGGACGTCTAGACGAATGTATTTTCTTATCAATCTGAAATATTTTTAGTTGTTTTTTTCAATTTTCTTTCTCTTTTTCACTTTTTTTTCATAAAACGCGGTCTATTATTTGCCTGGGATGGTGGCTCACGATTTTAGCCCAAAGCAATAATTGAACTTTTTAGACCAACGTCCAGCATCACTTAAGCTTATAAATTTTCTGGGGGCGGGCATATCGGTAACATGTACGATAAAGACGGCGCCTTCTGAATTCCTGAGTTGTGTCCTGATCAACAGGCACCTTGTCGTAAATCCAGCCCTCGCCACTATCCTCTGGCACTCTCAAGTGCGTCTGATCATAGCGGCGGATCTTCAAAAGTTCCTGCGGATTTGGATCGATGCGCCAGTTGTTTGTGAAGCCAAAATCAAACTTCCATTCCTTAGGCGGTGAGACCTTGTTGAGATGATTCACTCCATGAGGGAGCTTCCCAGCGACTCTCACCGCGTCATTGTAATCGAAAAGCCTCTTGGAGTACGCATAAAACTTCCACTCCTGCTTGAAAACATCTCTAGTTTGTAGCTCAAAGACCTCCACAATCCTTACTTCCGGTGGCTCGTCGACTATGATATCTTGCCTGTCGAAATCCTCAAAAAACGACGTAGAGTTTTCCAGAGAGACATCATGGGATTTCTTGGCTTTCTTGTCAACCTTTCCTTGCATGCTCTGGAGCCCCCCAAGGTATTTCTTGGCATTAGGATGACAAAGCAAGAGAACGGACCACCCGGACAGTATAAAGCATAGTCTCCAGGGAATGAAGTTTCCGAAGAAAAGCACAAATGACGTGGCAAAAATGACAACGTAGAAGATGTACGTCGTGACGCGCTCGTCTTTGAAGACCGTGAAGTCATTGAGGATGCTTTCGCTGTGCGAGATAGACTTTAGTACATCACCTGTCAAGTTCTGCAAGTCACGCATGTTGATCAACAACGAAACCTGTGACTTGACAAGCGTTCGTTTATCCTTTTTATCGGCTCGATCCGGCAAGTCAGGCGCATCTTTGTTTAGCTTGGGCTTCCGCTCAGCTCTTGACGCCGAGCTGGCTATTTCCAAAGAAGACCCAGTGGAATGGGTCAGAGAGTACTCGTCCATCGTTTCATTGTGTTCCTCCAAGAAATCCGTCAAAAGACTGGTATCCTTTGAGCTGTTGAGGAACTGTAGGAACGACTGGCCTCTCTTCTTGACCGGGATGATCTCAGGTGTATCCATGGGATGCCTGTGCAAATACCCAGGTAGGATGATTCCGAAGAGAAGAACGAGCAAGGGAAGAGCAAGGACGATGTGAGGCCACATGCAAACGCAAGTGTACGCCACCAAGAAAGCCAATGTTTTCGTTGGCTTGCGCCACGTGACCAAATGCACAAGCCCGTATTGAAGTTTGAAGAACGCGCCCATTTTCCAGCTCAACTCCTTCAAGTTGGAGACGAAGACCCGAATGGAGAGCGGTGGTTTCCTGGTTCTCAGAGGGTCATTCATTCTATTCTGGAGGTCTTCAGCCTCCGCCGACTCGGGCATAGCGCTCCGCACCATGATATCCATGAACCGGTCCATGAAGTGCGCCTGGTCCTCTTGCATTGCGTTTGCAGACAGAGCCACCCCGTCGATGAGGTCGGCCTCGGCGTCCAGGTATTCGAAGCCCGCCGACGACAGGCTGCTTTTGTTGTCGAGTTTGTCGAGGCTGATTCCGAGCATTGCAGCTGCTGTGCCCGCAGCAAGACCCCTGTTGGTATCGTAGCCTCGCAGCTCAGCAACATTGTTCGTGTAGTCATATAGATGCGACACCAAGCGGGCCCTTTTGGACCTTTTGGTTTGCAGGGTAGCGTCGGCCATGTCGGTGGGCATTGCGTTTCTTGCGAGGTGCTGCGTTGTTATGTTTTCGAGATGGCTGAGTAGCCCGAGGAGTATTGCGGCCGCATGGACTGTCTGGATGGGTGTGGGGAATGGAACCCACGGGAGTGCACATGGCTGCCCATACCTGCGTTTGGTCGGTGGAACCGCGCGACGGCTGCGAACGCGAAATTCGTCCGTTTAATTAGGCGGCCCCCCTCCGGCTGATTGACCAAGGCCGTCCTGTAGAAACGGTGAGTCGAGGAGCTGCGCGGCCGTGGGGCGCACGGCCGGGTCCCACTGGAAAACCAGGCCCATGAAGCGCGAGAACGCGGCCTGGTCCGACTTGTCCTCGTGCGAGCTGTGCAACCGCATGGACACGTCGAGAGACCGCGAGCTGAGCTTCACGTTCCGCTTGAACGGCGCGGGCAGGGCCGAGGCCGGCTGGTCCTTGGGCTCGCAGGCCTGCAACTGCAAGTTGAGGAACGGGAGGTTGATCTTGCCGTCGAGATTGAAGAGCGTGTAGAGCAACGTCTTCTTCAACTTGCGCTCGTCGACCTGCACGGCGGGCTTGGACGAGAACACGGAGGCGCCCGACACGAGCGGGTCGTTGAGTTTGCGGTGCATGTCCGTCCGCACGGACCGGAGCAAGCGCTTGCGCTCGGCCAAGACCAACGCGCTGGGCGGCGCGCCGAACATCTCGAGGACCAAGGCGATCTGCTCGAGCTCGTTCCTGCCCGGGAGAAGCGGCGAGCCCGCGAAGAGCTCTGCGAGCACGCAGCCGAAGGACCACACGTCGATTTGGGGGCCGTACCGCGCGCCCAAGATCACCTCGGGCGCACGGTAGAAGCGCGACTGGATGTACGAGAAGGAGGTCTCGGTCTCGAGGCACGAGGAGCCGAAGTCGATGAGCTTCACCTGAAAGTCCGGCGCGCCGGCCGCGCCCGGGCAGTAGTCCGGCGGGAGGCGGATCATGATGTTCTCCGGCTTGATGTCGCAGTGGATGACGTGCTGCGCGTGCACGAAGCGCAAGCCGGCCAAGATCTTGCGCGCAAACGACCGCACCAACGCGAGCGCCACGCCGCGGAACTGCCCGAGCTCGAGCAACGTGTACAAGTTGAGCGAGAGGAGCTCGCTGACAATGCACATGTGCCCGCGGAAGTGGAAGTGGTCGCAGTAGGTCAAGACGTGGCCGTCGGCGCGGCCCGCCTGCGCGGCCGCAAGGTGCTTGAGCATCTTGACCTCGCTGACCGCCTGCAACAGCCAGTCGAGCTCGTTCTTGATCACCTTGATGGCCACGTTGCGCCACCGCCCGCGCGCCGCGTACCGGTGGTCGCGACAGTGCACCACGTTGCCGAACGAGCCCGTGCCGAGCACCCGCACGATCTCGTAGCGGTACGCCACGTGGTCCTGCGGCCGCACCACGTAGTTGCCGTCCGCGTCGTCGAACCCATAGTTGTTCTTGAAGCTGCTGACGTTGATGGCACTGCCGCACCCGGGCGCCGTCCACGCCGGAGGCACGTAGTACACGTGCGCGTTGCGCATCATCTCGCCGCGCTCGTATACGCTGAGCTGCGTGTCCTGGGCGTCAATGAGCTGCGCGGCCGCCACGGGCTGCTGCTCCTCGAGCGCCGCGTCGAGCGAGTTCGGCTCCGCGAAGAGCAACGCGTCCAGCCGCCGGATGAGCTCGTACATCTGCGCGGCCGAGGCCGGCTTGGCATGCGCCGGGCTGGGCGTGCGCCGCGGCCGGGCCGCGGCCAGCCGCGCCTTCTTCGTGCCCGCGTAGAGCCGCGTGTACACGTCTGCGCGCCGCGGCGCCTGGTCCGGCGAGGTTTCCGGGCACGGCGCACTGGGCGCGGAGCCGGGCGGGCCGGCCGGCCGTGCCGCGGGCCGCTTCTTCGTGGCGAGCACCGCGTAGTGGTGTTTGCGGCGGGCGCACATGTCCGGGTGCGACGCCGAGCGGGTCTGGCCCGGCCCGCGGGCGGGCGCCGCCGCGGCCTGTTTCTTGCGCGACGACGACGTGTCCCTCATGAACGACGGCAGCGGCGCGTCCAAGGGCGTGTTTGTGGTGTCTGCCCGCGCGTTCAAGGGCGTGTTTGCGGCGCCTTCCCGGGCATCGTCGGGCGTGTTTGCGGCGCCTTCCCGGGCGTCCATGGGCGCCTGTGGGAGGGGCCGCTTGTGGGCGGCAGCCGCCGGAACGGCCGGTTTGGCGCCGGACGCGGCCCGCGTCTGCGCTCGGGCCGCCGTGGAGAGGCAGGGCGCCGCCGCGGGCGTCGTGGCGCCGTGTGGCGGGGGGTACAAGCTGGCCGGGTATTGCTTGCGCAGAGGCCGGCGGGCGCCAGGCGTGTCGAGCTCGATGCGGGCGAAGCGGGCACTGAAGCCAGGCGAGAGGTGGGACATGGGGCGCTGCCGGTGCTGGGGGGGCTGTTGTGGGGGGCGGGAGGGGAGTGCTGGCGGCGTGGAGATGGGTGCAAAGGACGGATCCAAGACCGGCTGGGCTGGGGCCGGGTGAGGTTTGGGGCAACTGGGGCCAGGGCGCGGCGCGCCGCGCGTGCGCGCTGGGGGCCCTGTGCTGGGGCCGGCTCGCGCCCTTCCTGGCGCCTGGCCCCGCCTGCCGCGCGGGCTCTAGGGCGGAGGGAGCAGGGCGGGGGGCCGCGTGGGAGACGAGGGCTTCGGTCGCACCGGGTGCACGGGGTGGGTGCTCTGTGCCTCGAGTTTTGCCGTGCTTGATTTTGATTTTTGCTGCCTGGTTTTGTTTTTGCCGAGCCTGGTTTTGTTTTTGCTGTCTCTTTGCTTGCAATTTTATTTTGTTTTTGGCTGTTTGCAGCGTACCCTTTTTTTTGTTTGCCTGTGGTTCTTCTCCCTCATGCTCTGGCTCTGCTTTATAAGTGCTCACTGTGATGTCCCTCTCATATACCTCGATTGAAATCGCACAAGGGCTGGGGAAAAGCGGGAGTACTCGGGGCATTGTACTTCGCTCCTGCTTTGATTCCGTTTCCCTGTACTCTATCCCTGGGACCCAGCTTTATTTTCTTTTCATTTTCTTTTCATTTTCTTTCCATTATATTGGTATTTTTTATTCTTTTTGTTTTTCTTATTCTTCTTGTTTTTGTTATTTTTTTTGTTTTTGTTTTTCCTATTCTTCTTGTTTTTGTTATTTTTTTTGTTTTTGTTTCCATCTTTTCTTTTGGTTTTCGTTGCTTCTCTTTTTCTTTCCCTCTGATTCCAATACAAGCGAGGAGGATCGAAATGCCCGTTGCATGGCACATGGATCTTGCTGCTGCCTCTTCTCTTTCTGGCCTCCATCATAATGTCTTTTTAGGAAACTTTTTTCTCTTTCGTTTTCGATTTCTCCATTGCTCTTTTATTATGGCCCAATTCTTTTTTTGGCCGGAGCACACGGGCCTTCTACTGGAGATTTGCGGCAATAGCCTCTGCGGGCTCTGCTCTGGAGTGAACATACCCCCGAACTGCTTCGTTTTTTTTGCCTGCTCAATAACATCACCTTCACATAATACCCAGAATTTTGAACATCAAGGCTTTTTTACATCAAGGTTTTTTAACATCAAGGTTTTCTAACAATAATGCACACGCTGATTAAGGAATGTTTTTGATTGAATGGTTCAGTCTATGGGATTTTATATCTCGTAGGTCCATTGGGTGCGAAAATCAACATGCAAATGGACCTGTTCATTAAAGAATACGCTGCAGATTCGGGCACTGTGCTTGAGATATAGAAGCAGCCTCGGGATATTTCCTGATCAAGCAAGAACCCGCACCAAAATTATTTCGCAGATCTATTAGATGGTCACTACCAATTAACATCACCGCCTTCGGGAAAGCACTAGCATTTGGATAGAGATCCTGAAACGGTTTCCTGTGGCCAGCGATCCGGATTCCGCGGCCAGCGATCCGACATGGCATTGGCGACTCCGAGCTACCTGACTTGGAGCCTAAAAATAGGGAAGAAGAATTAGAATACAGTTTACGCGCAGTGGCTCTAAAGCTGCTTGAAATATTAGCTAGTTCTGCTTTTGCTATAGTGGCCCGACCTTGCTGGCGTATTGCTGACACTTTTCCTTATAATCTCTTTTTGGGTTTAGCTCATGACATTTGAAAGAAGAAAACTACAAAGAAAAGAGGCATCAGTACACTAACTCGCAAATATACGTGCTTCGGGTGTAACTGTGCTCTTTAATCCCCGCTAATTATCATAATTTCTCTAGGGAAATTTTCGAAATGTATCCGGCAGCATTTTACCTTTAACAACAGACGTGCATCACCAGAAACACAAAAAGAACAAACGGCATCTTAGTTTCTTTCCATGAGCTTATTCAAAAAGGTCAATACACCAGTAGCGTTTCAAAAGTGTTCTAAAGATTAAAAAACATTGCGCAAGCCCGGAATCGAACCGGGGGCCCAACGATGGCAACGTTGGATTTTACCACTAAACCACTTGCGCTTTGGATGTCAGGCTGTTATGATACGACATGAGCCAGATTATAGATTCTGGGCATCCTGTATAATACGAAGGACGAAGAGTCTAAACATTCCTGATCGGGGTTACTCCTCACCTACTGTATAGAAGGGTTCCGAACTATAAAGGAGCGTGAGGCTGAGACATCCCTGAAGAAGGATAACACTTTTGAGACATCGAGAATACGACAGATAGACTAGGCCTATCCACTAAGGCTGAACTATCTATAAACCGATCTACTCGTAGTTTAAGAGACAGCTCCAGGCTGTTTCATAATAGTTGGTAGCGCAGCTTAGTTACGACCATGGGAGAAACTACAATGAGCGCAGAGACAAATAAAGACACGTCGACCTTGACCTTCAACCCGACAATGTACTTCAGCGACGCAGAACAAGACCGGGCCGCTCAAGAATATTTGAGTAACA